GAAGAAAGGTCTGTGGCAAGAGGCCTCCCAGTGGAAGTATCAGTTTCCTTTTTTGACATGGCCTTTTTGGCTCATTTTCTCTCAGAAGCTGGCCTGGAAATAAGCTTGTATCCCAAAAACAAAGGGCTCTAACGAGGTGCCTGGCCAAGGAACCTCTGGAAATGAAATATTCTCCCAAACACTGTTCCTGGTTGACTTTTGGTGAGCATATGACTGTCTTTGCTACATATATGGGATCAGCAGATACTTTTGTTAGGTCAATGATGAGTACTTTATGTTTCCTTGAGGAATGGTGGTTACTTAAATATCACGTACAAGGGCATGACGCTAAGGCCAAGCCTAGAAAAAGGTTGTGGAAACTGACATGGGGAAACTGATGATGGTTCCTTCAGTATGATCTATTTTGGTGCTGGAGGACTTGAAGTATGGTAGGCCATCTTGTGGAGCATGTGGATGTGCTGCTTCATAAAATTCCCCAAGTTATCTTTATGCTTTAATCCTCATCCCAGGTCCTGGCCATTTTAGCATACCTTGCTGATCAATAAATCACACTTTGTGTCTTTCAGTGGAAAATTCTGCTCAGAATGGCTGCATGGCATGTACTGTCATAGAGGAGTGCATGGCTATGTTTGGTTATCATGACCAATGGTTTACCAGTCACTGAGGGTCATCAATCAAGGAGGTGTTCTTGGCCTGGGAGACAAGCTGGACCTTCACCAATACATACATTTTTTTCTCTCAAGGCATGTTTGAAACTGGACAAAAAGGCACCATGAGATTCTCTTGGCATGCTGTTCTGGGAGGCCCATGCTTCTTTTCAAATAGAGGGTGAATACACTTTTGTCCTGCTCTAAAGAAAGAGAGATTCAGGCTTGTTTAATAATAGTCTGTGGCTCATGATGTGAATGGCCATTCCCTCAGTTGGGCACCTTCTGCAAACTTAGAGAGCTATGAATGGTGGCACAGAGCAAATATAATCCTCTGGTCTGCTGGTGAGAGGGGCACAGAAGTTAAAAATGACTTTCCAATATTTTTAAAACCACCCCCTTTCTTCTGAACTCAAGATGTTACAACACACACAGGTTAAACCCCTGGCAAAATGCAACATAACCAAGCATTGCTGGAAATCCATCTTTGAGAATGAGAAACTCTTTCCCACCTGTCATACAAAGGGAAGCATGTCCAAGCTGTATCAATAGTACCCTGTCTCGACTTGACTCCAGTCATGGAGGAACTTCTGTCTCAGCATAATTGATGGATTCCACATAAGCAGATTTCTAATTTCACCATTATGTGGATGAACTGATAGAAAGAGACAGCAAAATTAGGCAGGTAGTAGACAGCTTGTTCACTCAAGCTGTCCTCTTCCAATTCACAGGGATCCTTTCTTCAGAGAAATCCTTGGGAATAACTGTTTGTCTCTGGTTGAAAGATGTCACGCAGTTGCCTGTCTGTGTTTCCTCTGAAAGTCAAATAGTCTCCAGTAATCTGGTCGCATTTGTTTACTTGTAGTGAACCTATGGGCTTCCTTCAAAAGGAAGCAGTAAAAGGTGGTGCCTAGCTGGGTCAATGATGAAATCTATGCATGGTCTCTAGATAGATGTTGTCTTAAAAGTCTTGGGTAATAGACTTTCACTGAGGACCTTCTTAGTTGACAGGTGTGCAAAATTACGTGAGCCTTTGGCTTGTCCCGACATTGCTCTAATTGTGAAGCACTCTATGTATGACAGACTATCAATGGGTGCTCAACCCTTAGGAAGGACTCTTCCATGAAATAGGCATATTAGATTGTAATTTCTTCACCCCTTTTGAAAAAGTCGGGCACTTTAACAACCCCTTCCTTCCGACAAATTCTCTCTTTGTGTCTCTCAATACAATATTCTGCCCATGCTGGATGGATGGCATGCACCATGCTTAAGGAGAGCACGGCTGGGATTGGGAGTCATGACCATCATACATAAGTTACTGTGGGCCACTTAGGCATGGTAACTCTCAGTTATCGATCCAAACTGAACTCTGAACCAATATGAGTACCTTTTCTCTTGAGATCCCTATGAGACTGGAACAAAAAAGCCCACAGATGCTCTAAGTCTGGTATTTGATGATATCCAGAGTCTCCTCTAAAATCAGGAAGAAGAGGATTTTGTCAAGCATGAGAGAAACTGGAGAGAAAGGCTAATGAATAAATTCTAAAGCATTCTGTCGCTCAACTTGTGCCAGAGGATGATCTTAGTTGCAAATCTTCTGAGGAATCAGGGAATGTGGAATGGTGAGACAAACCCTGCAGTCATGTTGAGAGGGGACACAAACTAAGAAGTAGATATGATATTCACTTGTGAATTCACCAACCCTCTTGAAAGCTCAAGCAGTTAAAACTCACTGATTAAAAGCAGAAGGCTAGATACAAACATTCCAATATTGCTCAAGAAACCCAATTATTGCACTGTAGACCGCTTGATAACTTGAGATATGAGAGGACAAGCATTCAATATGTATTACCTGAACCCAGTGTATGATGTGTTCTTTGTCTCCTGATCCATGGGGATCACAGATGTTGCCAGAAAAAAGAAGTCCTAACTGACATGTATTGTCTCGTCAAGATGTATTTGGAAGAAAGGTCTTTGGGAAGAAGCCTCCCAGTGGAAGTATCACTTTCCTTTTTGACATGCCACTTTTGCCTCCTTTTCTTCCAGAAACTGGTCTGGAAATAAGCTGCTATCCCCAAAACAAAGGGCTGTAACAATGTGGCTGGTCATGTATCCTCTGGAAATGAAATATTCTCCCAAATGCTGTTCCTAGTTGACTTGTGGTGAGTATATGACTGCCCTTGCTACATATATGGAGTTGTCAGATACTTTTGTTGGGTCATGATGAGTACTTTTTTTTGGCTTGAGGAGCGGTGATGACTTAAATACCACGTACAATGGCATGATGCTGAGGCCCAGCTTAGAAGACAGTTGTGGAAACCAACCTGGGGAAAATAATGACCATCCCTTTGGGATGATCGAGTTTGGTACTGGAGAACTTGCAGTATGGGAGACTATCTTGTGGAGCATGTGAATATACTCCTCTATAAAGTTTCCCCATGTTATCCTTATACATTAATCCTCTTTCCTGGTCCTGGGCATTTTAGCATCCCTTGCTGATCACCACATCTCACTTTGTGTCTTTCAGTGGAAAATTCTGCTGAGAATAGCTACAAGACATGCACCATTGTAGCGGAGAGCATGACTTCGATTGGTTGTCATGACCAATGCTTTACCAGTAACCGTGGATCATCAATCAATGGGGTGTTCTTGATCTTGGAGGCAAGCTAGACCTTCACCAAAGCAGGCAGTTTTTCTCACAAGGCCTGGGTGAAACTGGACAAAAAGGTGCCCTGAGATGCTCTTGGCATGCTGTTCTAGGAGTCCCATGCTTCTTTTCCAAAAGGAGGGTGAATAGACTTTTGTCCTGCTCTAAGAAAAAGAGAGCATAAGGATTGTTTAATAATAGTCAATGTATCTGTGGCTCACGATGTGAGTTGACATGTCCTCAGCTGGGCACCTTCTGATAACTTAGAGAGCTGGGAATGGTGGCAAAGACCAAAGAGAATCCACTGGTCTCCTGGTCAGAGGGAGGACACAAGTCAATAATGACTTCAAAATTTTTCAAACCACCACCTTTCTTCAGAACTTAGATATGAGAACACACACAGGTGAAACACTTGACAAAATACCCCATAATCAAGTTTTGCTACGGAAATCCCTCCATGAGAATGAGGGACTCCTTCCCACCTGAGATATAAAGGGAGTCATGTCCAAGCTGTATCAAAATTACCTATTTGTAAATGGCTCCAGTCATGGTGGAACTTCTGTCTCAAACACTTGAATGGATTCCACATGAGCATGTATTTAATTTCATCATTATGTGGATGAACTGATTAAATAAGACAGCAAAATTAGGGAGGTAGTACACATCTTATTCACTCAAGTTGTTCTCCTCCTTTTCACAGGGATCCCTTCTTCAGTAAAGTCCTTGGGAATAACTGTTAGTCTCTGGATGAAGGACACCACCCAGGTGCCTGGCCTCATTTCCTCACAAAGTTAAATAATTTCCAGTTATCTGGTCACATTCGGTTACTTGTGATGAGCCTATGGGCCTCTTTGTAAAGGAGGAAGCAAGGGAGGTTACCTACCTGGGTCAGTGATGAAATCTTTACCTTGTCTCTAGAGAGGTGTTGTCTTATAAGTCTTGCTCAATAGAGCTATGCTGAGGGCCTTTTTAGGTGACAGGTGTGCAAACTGACATGAGCTTGAGGGTGGCCCTGACATTGCTCTAGTTGTGGAGCACTCTGAGTCGGATAGGCTATCCAGGGGTGCTCCACCTTGAAGAAGCACTCCTCCATGAATTACGCAAATTTGACTGTAGTGTCTTGACATCTTTCCCCAAAGCCATGCACTTTAACCACTCATTCCCTACCACAAATTCTCTATTTGTGTCTCTCAATGAAATATTCTGCCCACACTGGATGGATGGCATGCACCATGCTATGAGAAAGCATGATTGGGATTGGGAGTCATGACCAACATTCATAAGTTCCTTTGGGCTCGCAGCCATGGGACTCAGTTCTGGAGTCAAAATGAACTTTCAACTAATATGAGTACCTTTTCTCTTGAGACCTGTATGTGACTGGAGCAATGAGAGCCCTCAGATGCTCTAAACCTGGTATTTCATGATGTTCATGGTATCCTCTAAACTCAGGGAGAAGAGATTTTGACGTGCATGAGAGAAAATGGAGAGGCAGGCTCATTAATACATGCTAAAGCATTCTTTCGATCAACTTGTGCTAGACGATGCTCTTAGTTGCACATCTTCTGATTAATCAGGGAATGTGGATTGGTGATGCAAACAAGTAGAGTGGGCTGCAGTCATACTGAGAGGGACAGAAACTAAGAAGTAGATATAATTTCCACTTGTGAATTCATCAAAACTCTTGAATGCTCAAGCAGTGAAACTCACTGATTAAAAGCAGCAGGCTAGATAGAAACATTCCAAGTATTACTCAAGAAACAATTATTACACTGTAGACTGCTTGATAACTTGAGATATGAGAGGACACGCATCCAATATGTATTACCTTGAACCCTGGGTATGCTGTGTTTTTTGGCTCCTGATCCATGGGTTTCGCAGACGTTGCCAGAAAAAAGAAGTTCCAGCTGAAATGTATTGTCTCGTCAATATGTATTCGGAAGAAAGGTCTCTGGGAAGATACCTCCCAGTGGAAGTATCAGTGTCCTTTTTGACACACAGTTTTTGACTCCCTTTCTCTCAGGGTCTGGCCTGGAAATAAGTTGCTATCCCAAAATAAAGGGCTGTAATGAGGGGGCTGGTCACGGATCCTCTGAAAATGAAATATTCTCCCAAAGGCTGTTCTGGTTGACTTGTGCTAGCATATGATGGTCCTTGCTACATATAGGAAATTGGCAGATACTTTTGCTGGGTCAATGATGAGTACTTTATATTGCCTTATGGGTTAGTGATGACTTGAATATCACATACAAGGCACGACACTGAGGCCCAGCCTAGAAGACCGCTGTGGAAACCAACATGGTTAAATTGATGACTGTCCCTTCAGGATCATTGAGTTTGGTGCCGGAGAACTTGAAGTATGGGAGGAAATCTTGTGGAGCATGTGGATATGCTCCTCTATAAAAATTCCACATGTTATCCTGATACTTTAAACCTCATCACAGGTCCTGGGCATTTTAGCTCCCTTGCTGAACACCACATCTCACTTTGTGTCTTTCAGTGGAAAATTCTACTCAGAATGCCTGCAAGGCATGCACCGACATAGAGGAGAGCATGACTCAATTTGTTCTCTTGACCAATATTTTACAAGTTACTGAGGGTCATCAATCAAGGGGGTGTTCTTGGTCTTGGAAGCAAGCTGGACCTGCACCAATTTGTGCAGTTTTTCCTCAAGGCCTGGATGAAACTGAACCAAAAGATGACTTGTGATGTTCCTGGCATGCTGTTCTAGGAAACTCATGCTTCTTTTCCATAAGGAGGGTGAATAAACTTTCGTCCTGCTCCAAGGAAAAGAGATAACCAGGCTTGTTTAATAGTAGTCATTGTATCTGTGGCTCACATTGTGAATGAACATGTCCTCAGATGGGTTCCTTATGGTAACTTAGAGAGTTGGGAATGGCGGCACAGACCAAAGAGAATACATTGGTCTTCTAGTGTGAGGGAGCACACAAGTCAATAATGACTGTCTACCATTTTTCAAACCACCATATTCTTCAGAACTTAAGATATGAGAACACATACAGGCGAAACTGCTGGCAAAATGCCCATTATCAAGCTGTGCTACAAAAATTCTACTTTAAGAATGAGGAACTCTTTCCCACCAGAGATACAAGTTGTATCAAAAGTTCCTGTCTGGACATGACTCCAGTCATGGAGGAACTTCTGTCTCAGGCTACCAGATGGATTCCACATGAGCAGGTATCTAAATGCATCATTATGTGGAAGAACCTATTAAATGAGACGGCAAAATTAGGGAGGCAGTAGGCAGCTTATTCACTCATGCTGTCCTTCTCCTTTTCACAGGTATCGCTTCCTCAGAGAAGTCCTTCAGAATAAATGTCAATCTCTGGATGAAGGACATCCCCCGGGTGCCTGGCCTCATTTCCTCACAAAGTCAAATAGTCTCTCATAATATGGTCGCATTTGGTTACTTGTGGTGAGACTATGGGCCTCTTTCAAAAGTAGACAGCAAAGGAGGATGCCTAGCTAGGTCAGTGATGAAATCTTTGCCTCGTGTCTAGAGAGGGATTGTCTTAAAAATCTTGCACAATAGAGTTACACTGAGGACCTTCTTAGGTGACAGGTGTGCTCACTGATGTGAGCTTGAGGATGGCCCTAATATTGCTGTAGTTGAGGAGCACTCTAAACCGGATAGGCTATCTAGGGATGCTCAACCTTGAGGATGCACTCCTCCATAAAATGAGCAAATTTGATTGTAATGTCTTGAGCTGTTTCACAAAATTGGGCACTTTAACCACGCCTCCCTTACCAAAAATTCTCTATTTGTGTCTCTCAATGAAATATTCTGTCTGCGCTGGATGGATGGCATGCACCATGCTATGAGAGAGCATGGCTAGGAATGGGAGTCATGACCATAATTCCTAAGTTCCTGTGGGCCACTCAGGCATAGGACTCTCAGTTCTGGAGCCAAAATGAACTCTGAACCAATATGAGTACCTTTTCTCTAAGACCTATTTGAGACTAGAGCAATGAGAGCCCACAAATGCTCTAACCCTGGTGTTTGATGATGTCCATGACCTTCTCTACACTCAGGGAGAAGAGAATTTTGTGGAGCATGGTACAATCTGGAGAGGCAGGATCATGAATACATGCTAAAGCATTCTTTTGGTCAACTTGTGCCAGACGATGGCCTTAGTTGCACATCATCTGAGGAATCAGGGAATGCGGAATTGTGATGCAAACAAGTAGAGTGGGCAGCAGTCATAATGAGAGGGGACACAAGCTAGGAGGTAGATATGATATCCACTTGTGAATTTATCAACACTCTTGAAAGCTCAAGAGATGAAAACTCACTGATTAAAGAAGCAGGCTAGATACAAACACTCCAAATATTGCTCAAGAAACTCGATTATTACATTGTACACTGCTTGATAACTTGAGATATGAGAGGACATGCATCCAGTATGTATTACCCTGAATCCTGGATATGCTGTGTTCTTTGGCTTGTGATCCATGGGGATCGCAGACATTGTCAGAAAAAAGAGGTCCCAACTGACATGTATTGTCTCATCAGGATGTATTTGAAAGAAATTTCCATGGGAAGAGGCTTCCCAGTGAAAGTATCAGTTTCCTTTTGACATGCCGTTTTTGACTCCTCTCTTGCCAGAAACTGGCTTGGAAATAAGCAGCTATCCCAAAAAGAAAGTGCTGTAACGACATGGATGGCCACAGATCATCTGGAAATGAAATATTCTCCCAAACGCTGTTCCTGGTTGACTTGTGGTGAGCATATGACTGTCCTTACTACATATATCGAATTGGCAGATACTTTTGTTGGGTCAATGATGAGTACTTTATACTGCCTTGAGGAGTGATGGTGACTTAAATATCATGTGCAATGGCATGATAATGAGGCCCAGCTGAGGACACAGTTGTGGAAACCAACATGGGGAAAAAGATGATGCTTCCTTCGATATGACCTAGTTTGGTGCTGGAAGACTTGACGTACAGGAGGCCATTTTGTGGAACATGTGGATTATCTACTCCATAAAATTCTCCATGTTATCCTTATACTTTAATCCTCATCCCAGGTCCTGGCTATTTTAGCATCCCTTGCTGATAAACACAACACACTGTTTGCTTTCAGTATAAAATTCTGCTCAGAATGGCTCCATGGGATGCACCATCGTACAGGAATGCATGACTTCCATTGGTTGGCATGACAACTGGTTTATCAGTCACCGAGGGTCTTCATGCAAGAAGGTGTTCTTGGTCTGGGAGGCAAGATGAACCTTCAGCAATGCATGCAGTATTCTCTCAAGTCATGGGTGAAACGGGAGTAAATGGTGCCTTGAGCTTCTCTCGGCATGCTGTTCTAGGAGCCCCATGTTAGTTTTTCAAAGAGAGAGTGAATCCACTTTTGTCCTGCTCTAAGGAGAGTGAGATTCATGCTTGTTTAATAATGATCAATGTACTTGTGGCTCATGATGTGAACGGACATGTCCTCAGCTGGGTCCCTTTGCAAAACTTTGAGAGGTTTGGATGGTGGGACAGAGCAATGAGAATAAACTGGTCTTTTGATGTGAGGAGACACAACTCAAAAATTACTGTTCAACATTTTTCATACCACTACCTTTCTTCAGAACTCAAGCCATGAAAACACACAGGCTAAATCTCTGGCAAAATGCCCCATAACTAAGCTTTCTTACGGAAAACCACCTTTGAGAATGAGGAACTCTTTCCCACCTGAGATACCAGGGAAGGCATCTCCAAGCTGTATCAAAAGTACTCTTTCTGGACTTGACTCCATTCATGGAGGAACTTCTGTCTCAGCCTACTTGACAGATTCCACATTAGTGGGTATCTAATTTCATCATTGTGTGGATAAAATGAAGGTTTGGTACAGCAAAATTAGGGAGATATTAGACAGCTTGTTCACTCAAGTTGTCTGCCTCTTTTTCACAGGGATCCTTTCTTCAGAGAAGTCCTTGGAAATAACTGTTAGTTTCTGGATGAAGTACATTATCCAGGTGCCTAGCATCATGTCCTCACAAAGTGAAACAAGCTCCACTAATCTGGTCGCATTTGGTTACTTCTGATGAGCCTAAGGGCCTCTTTCAAAAGGAGGCAGCAAAGGAGGATGATTAGCAGGGTCAGGGATGAAATCATTGTCTTGTCTCTACAGAGGTGTTGTCATAAAAGTCTCGCACAATAAAGTTATGCTGAGGACCTTCCTAGGTGACAGGAGTGCATACTGGTGTGAGAGGGAGGATTGTCCTGACATTGCTCTAGTTGTGGAGCACTCTAAGCTGGATAGGCTATCCAGGGGTACTCCACCCTGTGGAAGTAGTTCTCCATGAAATAGGCAAATTCAATTGTAAGGTCTTCAACCCTTTCACAAAAGCCGGGCACATTATTCACATCTTCCATACCATAAAATCTCTATTTGTGTTTCTCAATGAAATATTCTGCCCATGGTGGATGAATGGCATGCACCATGCTACGAGGGCATGACTGGGATTGGTATTAATGACTATAATTCATAGGGTCATGGGGGCCGTTAAGTCATGGGACTCTCAGTTTTGGAGGCAAAATGAATTCTGAACCAATATGATTACCTTTTCTCTTGAGACCTATGTGACACTAGAGCAATGAGTGTCCACAGATGCACTAATCCTGGAGTTTGATGATGTCCATGGTCTCCTCTAAATGCAAGGAGAAGAAGATTTCGCCAAGCAAGAGACAAACTAGAGGGACAGGCCATGAATACATGCTAAAGGATTCTTTCGCACAACTTGTGCCAGATGATAGCCTTAGTTGCACATATTCTTAGGAATCAGGGAATGTGGAATAGTGACACAATCAAGTAAAGCGGGCTCCAGTCATATTGAGAGGGGAAAAAACAAAGAAGTAGATATGATATCCACATGTGAATTCATCCACACACTTGAAAGCTTAAGCGGTGAATACTCCCTGATTAAAAGCAGCAGGCTAGACACCACCGTTACAAATATTGCCCAAGAACCCAATTATTACACTCTACACTGCTTGATAATTTGAGATATGAGAGGACATGGATCCAATATGTACCACCCTGAACCCTGGGTGTGCTGCATTCTTTGGCTCCTGATCCATGGAGATCACAACTGTGCCAGAAAAAAAGAGGTCCCAACTGATATGTATTGTCTCATCAGGATGTATTTGGAAGAAAGGTCTGTGGGAAGAGGCCTCCCAGTGGAAGTATAAGTTTCCATCTGAAAACACCATTTTTGAATCCTCTTCTGCCAGAAACTGGCCTGGTAATAAGCTGCTATTCCAAAAACAAAGGGCTGTAACAAGTTGGAAAGCCATGGATACTCTGGAATTGAAATATTCTCCCATATGACTTGTCAGCATATGACTGTCCTTGTCACATATATGGAATTGCCAGATACTTTAGTTGAGTGAATGATGAGTACTTTATATTGCCTTGAGGAGCGGTGATGATTTAAATATCAAGTACAATGGCATGACGCTGAGGCCCAGCCTAGAAGACAGTTGTGTAATCCAACATGGGAAAAATGATGATGGTCCCTTTGTTATGATCTAGTTTGGTGCTGGAGGACTTGTTGTACAGGAGGCCATCTAGTGGACAATGTGAATATGCTACTCCATAAAATTCCCCATGTTATCCTTAAACTTTAATCCTCATCAAAGTTCCTGGTCATTATAGCATCCCTTGCTGATCACCACTTCACAATTTCTGTCTTTTAGGGGAAAAATCTTCTCAGAATGACTACATGGCATGCACTGTCATAAAGGAGGGCATGACCTCATTTGGTTGTCATGTGCAATGGTTTACCAGTCACCGAGAGTCATCATTCAGGGAGGTGTTCTTGGTCTGTGAGCAAGGTGGACCTTCAGCAATGCACGCAGTTTTACTCTCAATGCATGCTTGAAAAAGGAAAAAAAGGCATCTTGAGATTCTCTCGGCATGCTGTTCTAGGAACCCCATTTTCATTTTCAACTGGAGTGTGAATACACTTTTTCCTGCTCTAAGGAAATAGAGATTCATGCTTCTTTAATAATAATCAATGTATCTATGATTCACAATGTGAATGGCCATGTCCTTTTCTGGGCCCCTACTGGAAACTTAGAAATGTTTGAATGGTGGCACAGAGCAAAGAGAATCCACTGGTCTCCTGATGTGAGGGGACACACGACTCAAAAGTTACTGGCCTAAATTTTTTGTACCACCACTTTTCTTCAGAACTCAAGATATGAGAACATACAAGTTATATCCCTGGAAAAATGCCCCATAACCAAGGTTTGCTACACAAATCCGTCTTTGAGAAGGAGGTACTTTTTATCACCTTAGATTTTCCATACCACAAAACCTCTATTTATGTCTCTCAATGAAATATTCTGCCCACACTGGATGGATGGCAAGCGCCATGCTATGAGGGCATGACTGGGATTGGATTTAATGCCCATAATTCATAAGTTTATGGGAGCTGCTTAGGCATGGGACTCTCGGTTTTGGAGTCAAAATAAATTTTGAACCAATAGGATGACCTTTTCTCTTGAGACCTATATGAGACTAGAGCAGTGAGTGTCCACAGATGCACTAAGCCTGGTGAGGGATCATACCCATGATCTCCTCTAAACTCAAGGAGAAGAAGATTTTGCCAAGCATGAGATAAACTAGAGAGACAGGCCATAAATAAATGCAAAAGTATTCTTTTGTTCAACTTGTGCTAGACGATGGCCTTAGTTGCACATCTTAGGAATCAAGTAATGTGGAATGGTGACACAAACAAGAAGACTGGGTTCCAGTCATATTGAGCGGGGACAAAAAACAAGAAGTAGATATGATATCCACTTGTGAATTCATCAACATTCTTGAAAGCTCAAGCGGTGAATACTCACTGATTAAAAGCAACAGACTAGACACAAACATTCCAAATATGGCACAAGAAACCCAATTATTACACTGTAGACCTCTTGATAACTTGAGATATGAGAGGACACGGATCCAATATGTACCACTCTGCACTTTGGGTGTGCTGTGTTGTATCTCTCATGATCCATGGGGATCGCACACTTTGCCATAAAAAAGAGGTCCCAACTGATATGTATTGTCTCATCAGAATGTATTTGGAAGAAAGTTGTGTGGGAAGAGGCCTCTCAGTGGAAGTATCAGTTTCCATTTGGGCACACCGTTTTTGACTCCTCTTCTGCCAGAAACTGGCCTGGAAAAAGCTGCTATCTCAAAAACAAAAGGCTGTTACAAGATGGATGGTCACGGATCCTCTGGAATTGAAATATTCTCCCAATTGCTGTTCCTGCTTGACTTGTGGTGCGCATATGACTGTCCTTGCCGCATATATGGAATTGGCAGATAGTCTGCTGGGTCAATGTTGAATACTTTATATTGCCTTGAGGAGAGGTGATGATTTAAATATCAAGTACAATGGCATGATGCTGAGGCCCAGCCTAGAAGACAGTTGTGTAATCCAACATGGGAAAAATTATGATGGTCCCTTTGGTATGATCTAGTTTGGTGCTGGAGGAATTGTCATACAGGGGGCCATCTAATGGAGCATGTGGATATGCTACTCCATAAAATTCCCCATGTTGTTCTTAAACTTTATCCTCATTAGAGTTCCTGGCCTTTGTTACCATCCATTGCTAAATCACCACATCACACTTTGTGTCTTTCAGGGGATAAATCTGCTCAGAATGACTGCATGGCATGAACCATTGTAAAGGAGTGCATGACCTCGTTTGATTGTCATGACCAATGGTTTACCAATCACCAAGAGTCATCTCTCAAGGAGATGTTCTTTGGCTGGGAAGCAAGCTGCACCTTCAGCAATGCATGCAATTTTTCTCTCACCACATGCTTGAAAAAGGAAAAAAAGCTGTCTTGAGATTATCTTGGATGGTGTTCTAGGAGCCCCATGTTTCATTTTCAAATGGATTGTGAATACACTTTTTTTCTGCTCTAAGGAAAGAGAGATTCATGCTTCTTTAATAATAATCAATGTATCTGTGACTCACGATGTGAATGGCTATGTCCTCTGTCCTCTGTCTGTCCCCTTCTGGAAACTTAGAAAAGTTTGAATGGTGGCATAGAGGAAAGAGAAATCACTGGTCTCCTGACGTGATGGGCCCCACAACTCAAAAATTAGTGGCCTACATTTTCGTATCACCACTTTTCTTCAGAACTCAAGATGTGAGAACACACATGTTAAATCCCTGGCAAAATGCCCCATAACATAGCTTTGCTATGAAAATCCATCTTTGAGAAGGAGGAACTCTTTATCACCTGAGATACTAAGGGAGGCATGTCCAAACTGTATCAAAAGTACCCTGTCTGGACGTGACTCTATTCATGGAGGAACTTCTGTCTACTAGATGGATTACACATGAGTAGGTATCTAATATCATCATTATGTGGTTGAACCAATTGTATGAGACAGCAGACTTAGGGAGATATTAGAAAGCTTGTTCACCTAAGCTGTCCTCCACTTTTTTACAGGGATCCCTTCTTCAGAGAAGTCCTTAAGAATAGCGGTTAGATTCTGGGAGAAGGACGTCATCAAGGTGCCTGGCCTCATGTTCTCACAGAGTCAAATAGTCTCCAGTAATCTTTTGCATTTGGTTAGTTCTGATGAGCCTATGGACCTCTTTCAAAAGGAGGCAGCAAGGATGTTGCTTAGTTGGGTCAATGATGGAATCTTTGTCTTGACCCTAATGAGGTGTTGTCTTAAAAGTCTTGTGCAAAAGAGTTATGCTGAGGAACTTCTTAAGTGACAGGTGTGCATACTGCTGTGAGAAGGAGTATAGTCCTGATATTACTTAGTTGTGTAGCACTCTAAGCCAGATAGACTATCCAGGGGAAATCCACTCTGAGGAAGCAGTTCTCCATGAGTTTGCCAAATTTGATTGTAATGTCTACATCCCTTTCACAAAAGTTGAGCACTTTAACCACACATTCCATACCACAAATTCTCTATTTGTGTCTCTCAGTGAAATATTCTACCCACACTGGATGGAAGCACATACCATGCCATGAGAGAGCATGACTGGGATTGGGATTCATGAAAATCATTCATAAGTTCCTTGGGCCACTTAGGCTTTATGCCCTCAGTTCTGGAGGCTAAAAGAAATCTGTTCCAATATGAGCCCTTTTCTCTTGAAACCAACATGAGAATGGAGCATTGAGGGTCCAAAGCTGCCCTAAACCTGGTTTTTGATGATATCCATGGTCTCCTCTCAACTCAGGGAGAGGAGGATTTTGTAGAACATGTTAGAAACTGGAGAGGCAGGCCATTAATACATGCTAAAGCATTCTTTCTCTCAACTTGTGCCAGATGATGGCCTTAGTTACACATCTTCTTAGGAATCAGGGAATGTGGAATGGTGATGCAAACAAGTAGAGTGGGCTCCAGTCATATTCACAGGGAACAAAAACTAAGAAGTAGATATGATTCTCATTTGTGAATTCATCAACACACTAGAAAGCTCAAGCGGTGAAAACTCACTGATTAAAAGCAGAAGGCTAAACACAAACATTCCAAATATTGCCCAAGAAACCCAATTATTAAACTGTAGACTGCTTGATTACTTGAGATTTGAAAAGACACACATCCAATATGTATCATCCTGAAGCCTGGGTATGCTGTGTTCTTTGGATCCTGATCCATGGGGATCGCACACATTGCCAGAAAATAGGTCCCAACTGATATGTATTTTCTCATCAGGATATATTTGGAAGAAAGGTCTGTGGGATGTGGCCTCCCAGTGGAAGTATCAGTTTCTTTTTTGACATGTATCTTGGATCCCTCTTCTGCCAGAAACTGGCCTGGAAATAAGCTGCTATCCAAAAAACAAATGGCTGTAATGATGTGGATGGCCAGGTATCCTCTGGAATTGAAATATTCTCCCAAATGCTGTTCCTGGGTAACTTGTGGTGAGCATATGACTGATGTTGCCTCATATATGGAATTGGCAGATACTTTTGTTGGGTCAGTGATGAGTACTTTATATTGCCTTGAGGAGTGGTGATGACTTAAATATCAAGTACAATGGCATGACGCATAGGCCCAGTCTAGAAGACAGTTGAGTAATCCAACTTGTGGAAAATGATGATGGTCCCTTTAGTACGATCTTGTTTGGTGCTGTAGGACTTGACGTATGGAGGCCATCTTTCAGAACATGAGGATATTCTACTCCATAAATTTCCCCCCTTACCTTATACTTTAATCCTCATCCTTATACTTTAATCCATTTTAGCATCCCTTGCTGATCACAACACACTTTTTGCATTCAGGGTAAAATTCTGCTCAGAATGGCTACATGGCATGCATCGTCGTACAGGAGCTCATGGCTTCCATTCGTTGTCATAAGCAATGGTTTATCAGTCACCGATTGTCATCATTCAAGGAGGTATTCTTGGTCTTGGAGGCAAGATGGACCTTCAGCAATGCATGCAGTTTTCTCTCATGTCATGGGTAAAACAGGAGTAAACGGCGCCTTGAGTTTCACTTGGCATGCTGTTCTAGGAGCCCCGTGCTTGTTTTTCAAAGAGAGGGTGAATACTCTTTTGTCCTGCTCTAAGGAGAGAGAGATTCATGCTTGTTTAATAAAGATCAGTGCATTTGTGGATCAGGATGTGAATGGATATGTCCTCTGCTGGGTCCCTTTGGAAAACTTTGAGAGGTTTGAATGGTGGCACAGAGCAAAGAGAATCCACCGGTATTTTGATGTGAGGAGGCACACAACTCAAAAATTACCGTCCAACATTTTTCCTACCACCGACTTTCTTCAGAACTCAAGCCATGAAAACACACAGGCTAAATCTCTGGCAAAATTCCCCATAATCAATCTTTGTTACGGAAATCCACCTTTGAGAAGAAGGAACTCTTTCCCACCTGAGATACTAAGGGAGGCATGTCCAAGCTGTATCAAAAGTACCCTGTCTGGACTTGACTCCATTCATGGAGGAACTTCTGTCTCAGCCTACTTGACGAATTCCACATGAGTAGCTATCTAATTTCATCATTGTGTGGATGAAACCATTGTTTGAGACAGTAAAATTAGAGAGACATTAGAGATCTTTTTCACTCAAGTTGTCCTCCTCTTTTTCACAGGGAAGTCCTTGGGAATAACTGCAACTTTGTGCTCAAATACATTATAAAGGTGCCTGGCCTCATTTCCTCACAAGGTTAAATAGTCCCAAATAATCTGGTCGCATTTTATTACTTCTGATGAGCCTAGGGGTCTCTTTCAAAAGGAGGTAGAAAAGGAGGATGCTTAGCTGGGTCTGTAACGAAATCTTTGTCTTGTCTCTATAGAGGTGTTGTCTTAAAAGTCTTGCACAATAGAGTTATGTTGTGACCTTCCTAGGTGACGAGAGTGCCTACTGGCATGAGAGAGAGGATTGTCCTGACATTTCTCTAGTTGTGGAGCACTCTAAGGTTGATAGGCTACCCAGGGGGACTCCATCCCAAGGAAGCAGTTCTCTATGAAATAGGCAAATTTGATTGTAATGTCTTCACCCTTTTTGCAAAAGCCGGGCACGTTAACAACAACTTCCATATCACAAAATCTCTATTTGTGTCTCTCAATGAAATATTCTACCCACGCTGGATGGATGGCATGTACCATGCTATGAGGGCATGACTCGGATTGGGATTAATGCCCATAATTCATAAGTCATGGGGGCCTCTTAGGCATGGAACTTTCAGTTTTGGAGGCAAAATGAATTCTGAACCAATATGAGGACCTTTTCTCTTGAGACCTATATGAGACTAGAGCAGTGAGTGTTCACAGACACACTAAGCCTGGTGTTGGATGATGCCCATGGTCTCTTCTAAGCTCAAGCAGAACGTTTTGCCAAGCATGAGAGAAAATAGAGAAGCAGGCCTTGAATGCATGCTAAAGGATTCTTTCACTCAACTTGTGCCAGATGATGGCCTTAGTTGCACATCTTCTTAGGAATCAGGTAATGTGGATTGGAGACACAAACAAGTAGACTGGGCTCCAGTTATATTGAGTGGGGAAAAAGCAAAGAAGTAGATATGACTTCCACTTGTCAATTCATCAACACTCTTGAAAGCTCAAGTGGTGAACACTCACTAATGAAAAGCTGCAGGCTAAACACAAACATTCCACTTATTGTAAAGGAAACCCAATTATTACACGGTAGACCTCATGATAACTTGAGATATGAGAGGACACAGACCCAATATGTACCACTCTGAACCCTGGGTGTGCTGTGCTTTTTGGCTCATGATCCATGGGGATCGGACACTTTGCCAGAAAAAAAGAGGTCCCGATTGATATGTATTGTCTCATCAGGATGTATTTGGAAGAAAGGTCTGTGGGAAGAGGCCTCCCAGTGGAAGTATAAGTTTCCATCTGAAAACACCATTTTTGAATCCTCTTCTGCCAGAAACTGGCCTGGAAATAAGCTGCTATCCCAAAAACAAAGGGCTGTAACAAGATGGATGGCCACGAATACTCTGGAATTGAAATATTCTCCCAATTGTTGTTCCTGCTTGACTTGTGGTGAGCATATGACTGTCCTTGCTGCTTATATAGAATTGGAAGATAATTTTGTTGGATCAATGATGAGTACTTTATATTGCCTTGAGGAGTGGTGATGACTTAAATATCAAGTACAATGGCATGACGCTGAAGCCCAGCCTAGAAGACAGTTATGTAATCCAACATGGAAAAAATGATGATGGTCCCTTAGTATGATTTAGTTTGGTGCTGGAGGACTTGTCGTACAGGAGGCCATAAAGCGGAACATTGGTATATGCTACTCCATAAAATTCCCCATTTTATCCTTAAACTTTAATCCTCATCAGATTTCCTGGCCATTTTAGCATCCATTGGTGATCACCACATCACATTTTTTGTCTTTCAGGGGGAAAATCTGCTCAGAATGACTGCATGGCTTGCATCGTCATAAAGGAGTGCATGACCTCATTTGGTTGTCATGACCAATGGTTTACCAGTCACCGAGAGTCATCATTCAAGGAGGTGTTCTTGGTCTGTGAGGCAAGCTGGACCTTCAGCAATGAGTGCAGTTATTCTCACATGCATGCTTGAAAAAGAAAAGAAGGCTCCTTGAGTTTCTCTTGGCATGCTGTTCTAGGAGCCCCATGTTTCATTTTCAAATGGAGAATGAATATTCACTTGGCCTGCTCTCAGGAAAGAGATAATCATACTGCTTTAAAAAATAATCAGTGTATCTGTGACTTATGATGTGAAGGCCATGTCCTCTGCTGGGTTTCTTCTTGAAACATCGAGAGGTTTGAATAGTGGCACAGAGTGAAGAAAATCTACTGGTCTACTGAGGTGAGGAGGCACACAACTCAAAAATTACTGGCCTACTTTTTTAGTACCACCACCTCATTCAGAACTCAAGATATGAGAACACACAGTTTAAATCCCTGGCAAAATGCCCCATAGCCAAGCTTTGCCACGCAAATCCATCTTTGAGAAGGAGGAACTCTTTATCACCTGAGATACTAAGGGAGGCATGTCCAAGTTGAATCAAAAGTACCCTGTCTGGACGTGACTCCATTCATGGAAGAACTTCTGTCTCAGCCTACTGGATGAATTCCCCATGAGTAGGTATGTAATATCATCATTATGTGGATGAACTGATTGTATGAGACAGCAAAATTAGGGAGATATTAGAAAGCTTGTTCACCCAAGCTGTCCTCCACTTTTTCACAGGGATGCCTTCTTCAGAGAAGTCCTTAAGAATAACTGTTAGATTCTGGACAAAAGACGTCAAACAGTTGCCTGGCCTCATGTCCTCCCAAAGTCAAATAGTCTCCAGTAATTTCTTTGCATTTGGTTACTTCTGATGAGCCTGTGGTCCTCCTTGAAAAGGAGGCAACAAGGGAGGATGTTTAGCTGGGTCATTGATGAAATCTTTGTATGACTCTAGTGAGATGTTGTCTTAAAAGTCTTGTGCAATAAGTTCTGCTGAAGACTTTCTTAGATGGCAGTTGTGCATACTGACATGAGAGGGAGTATTGCCCTGACATTGCTTAGTTGTGTAGCACTCTAAGGTGGATAGGCTATCCAGGGGAACTCCACACTGAGGAAGCAGTTCTCCATGAAATAGGAAAATTCAATTGTAATGTCTTGACCCCTTTCACAATCCTGAGCACTTCAACCACGCATTCCATACCACAAATTCTCTATTTGTGTCTCTCAATGAAATATTCTCCCCATGCTGGATGGATGGCATGCACCATGCTATGAGAAAGCATGACTGGGATTGGGATTCATGACCATCATTCATAAGTTCCTTGGGCCACTTAGACATGGTACCCTCAGTTCTGGAGGCAAAAGAAATTCTGAACCAATATGAGTCCCTTTTCTCTTGAAACCAGTAAGAGACTGGAGCAATGAAGGTTCAAAGATGCCCTAAACCTGGTGTTTCATGATGTCCATGGTCTCCTCTCAATTCAGGAGAAGAGGATTTTGTCAAGCATGTGACAAACTGGAGAGGCAGGCCACGAATACATGCTAATGCATTCTTTCACTCAACTTGTGCCAGATTATGGACTTAGTTGCACATCTTCTTAGGAATCAGGGAATGTGCAATGGTGATGCAAACAAGGAGAGTGGACTCCAGTCATATTCATAGGCGACAAAAACTAAGAAGTACATATGATATCCACTTTGTGAATTCATCAACACACTAGAAATCTCAAGTGTTGAAAACTCACTGAATAAAAGCAGCAGGTTAGACCCAAACATTACAAATATTGCCCAAGGAACCCAATTATTACACTGAAGACCGCTTGATAACTTGAGATTTGAGAGGACATGCATCCAATATGTATCATCCTGAAATCTGGGTGTGCTGTGTTCTTTTGTTCCTGATCAATGGGTATAGCAAACTTTGTCAGAATAAGGGTCCCAACTGAAATGTATTCTCTTCTCAGGATGTATTTGGAAGAAAGGTCTGTGGGAAATGACCTCCCAGTTGAAGTATCAGTTTCCTTTTTGACACGTATTTTGGACCCCTCTTCTGCCAGAAATTGGCTTGGAAATAAGTTGCTATCTGAAAAACAAATGGCTGTAATAATGTGGATGGCCAGGGATACTCTGGAATTGAAATATTCTCCCAAATGCTGTTCCTGGTTGACCTGTGGTGAGCATATGACTGTTGTTGCCACATATATAGAATTGGCAGATACTTTTGTTGGGTCAATGATGAGTACTTTATATTGCCTTGAGGAGAGGTGATGACTTAAATATCAAGTACAATGGCATGACGCTGAGGCCAGTCTAGAAGACTGTTGTGTAATCCAACTTGTGGAAAATGATGATGGTCCCTTCAGTACTACCTAGTTTGGTGTTGGAGGACTTGAAGTACAGGAGGCCATCTTTCGGAACATGTGGATATGCTACTCCATAAAATTCCTCCCTTACCCTTATACTTTAATCCTCATCCCACGTCCTGGCCATTTTAGCATCCCTTGCTGATCACCACAACACACGTTTTGCATTCAGGGTAAAATTCTGCTCAGAATGGCTGCCTGGCATGCACCGTCATACAAGAGCGCATGGCTTCCATTGGCTGCCATGACCAATGGTTATCAGTCATCGAGTGTCATCATTAAAGGAGGTGTTCTTGATCTGGGAGGCAAGATGGACCTTCAGCAATGCAGGCAGTTTTCTCTCAAGTCATGGGTGAAACGGGAGTAAACAGCACCTTGAGTTTCTCTTGGCATGCTGTTCTATGAGCCCCATGCTTGTTTTTCAAAGAGAGGGCGAATACTCTTTGGTCCTGCTCCAAGGAGAGAGGGATTCATGCTTGTTTAATAATGATCAGTGTATTCGTGGATCAGGATGTGTATGGACATGTCCTTTGCTGGATCCTTTCGGAAAACTTTGAGAGATTTGAATGGTGGCACAGAGGAAAGAGAATCCACTGATCTTTTGATTGAGGGGACATACAACTAAAAAATTACTGGTCAACATTTTTCATGCCACCGCCTTTCTTCAGAACTCAAGCCATGAAAACACACAGGCTAAATCTCTGGCTAAATTCCCCATAACCAAACTTTGTTATGGAAATTCACCTTTGAGAAGAAGTAACTCTTCCACCTGAGATACCAAGGAAGGGATGTCTAAACTCTATCAAAATTACCCTGTCTGCACTTGACTCCATTCATGGAGGAAATTCTGTCTCAGCCTACTTGACGGATTCCACATGAGTAGCTATCTAATTTTATCATTGTGTGGATGAACCGATTGTTTGAGACAGCAAAATTAGGGATATATTAGAGAGCTTGTTCACTCAAGCTGTCCTCCTCTTTTTCACAGGGATCCCTTCTTTAGGGAAGTCCTTGGGTGTAACTGCTACTTTCTGGAAGAAGTACGTTATCCAGGTGCCTGACCTCATGTCCTCACAAAGTGAAATAGTCCTGACAAATCTTGTCGCATTTTGTTACTTCTGATAAGCCGAGAGGTCTCTTTCAAAAGGAGGCAGCAAAGGAGGATGCTTAGATGGGTCAGTAATGAAATCTTTGTCTTGTCTCTACAAGGTGTTGTCTTAAAAATCTTGCTCAATAGAGTTACGCTGTGACGTTCCTAGGTGACAGGTGTGCATACTGACTTGAGAGGGAGGATTGTCCTGATATTGCTGTAGTTATGGAGCACTCTGAGGTAGATAGTGTGTCCAAGGGGACTCCACCCTGAGGAAGCAGTTCTCCAAGAAATAGGCAAATTCAATTGTCATGTCTTCACCCCTTTCACGAAAGCTGGGCACATTAACCACATCTTCCAACCACAAAATCTCTATTTGTGTCGCTCAATGAAATATTCTGCCCACGCTGGATGGATGACACGCACCATGCTACGAGGGCATGACTGGGATTGGGATTAATGACCATAATTCATAAGTTCATGGGGGCCACTCAGGCATGGGACTCTCATTTTTGGATGCAAAATGAATTCTGAACCCATATGAGGACTTTTTCTCTTGAGACCTATGAGACTAGAGCAATGAGTGTCCACAGATGCACTAAGCCTGATATTGGATGGTGCCCATAGTGTCCTCTAAACTTAAGGAAAAGAATATTTTGCCGAGCATGAGAGAAACTGGAGAGGCAGGCCATGAATACATGCTAAAGTATTCTTTTGCTCAACTTGTGCCAGATGATGGCCTTAGTTGCACATCTTTTTAGGTATGAGGTACTGTGGAATGGTGACACAAATAAGTTGAGTGGGCTCCAGTCATATTTAGCGGGGACAAGAACAAAGAAGTAGATATGATTTCCACTTGTCAATTCATCAACACTCTTGAAAGCTCAAGCGGTGAATACTCACTGATTAAAAGCAGCAGGTTAGACACAAACATTCCAAATATTGCAAAAGAAACCCAATTATTACATGGTAGACATCATGATAACTTGAGATATGAGAGGACACAGATCCAATATATACCACTCTGAACCCTGGGTGTGCTTTGTTCTTTGGCTCATGATTCATGGGGATCACACACTTTGCCAGAAAATAAGAGGTCTCAATTGATATGTATTGTCTTGTCAGGATGTATTTGGAAGAACGGTCTGTGGCAAGTGGTCTCCCAGTGGAAGTATCAGTTTTCATTTGGACACACCATTTTTGACTCCTCTTCTGCCAGAAACTGGCCTGGAAATAAGCAGCTATCCCAAAAACAAAGGGCTGTAATAAGATGAATTCACATGGATCTTCTGGAATTGAAATATTCTACCAAGTGCTGATCCTGCTTGACTTGTGGTGAGCATATGACTATCCTTGCCGCATATATGAAATTGGCAGATACTTTTGTTGGGTCAGTGATGAGTACTTTATATTGCCTTGAGGAGCAGTGATGACTCAAATATCAAGTACAATGGCATGACGCTGAGGCCCAGCCTAGAAGACACTTGTGTAATCCAACATGGGAAAAATGATGATGGTCCCTTTGGTACGAAATAGTCTGGTGCTGGAGGACTTGTTATACGGGAGGCCATCTAGTGGAGCATGTGGATATGCTACTCCATAAAATTCCCCATGTTATCCTTATCTTTAATCCTCATCAGGGTTCCTGGCCATTTTAGCATCCATTGGTGATCACCACATCACACTTTGTGTCTTTCAGGGGGAAAATCTGTTCAAAATGACTGCACGGCATGCACCATCATAAAGGAGTGCATGACCTCATTTGGTTGTCATGACCAATGGCTTACCAGTCACCAAGAGTCATAATTCAAGGAGGTGTTCTTGGTCTGTGAGGCAAGCTGGACCTTCAGCAATGCATGCGGTTTTTCTCTCAACGCATGCTGAAAAAAGGAAAAAAGGCGCCTTGAGCTTCTTTTGGCATGTTGTTCCAGGAGCCCCATTTTCATTTTCAAATGGAGTGTGAATACACATTTTTCCTGCTCTAAGGAAAGAGAGACTCATGCTTCTTTAAAAATAATTGCTCTCTCGATCTCTCTTTCTCTCTGTTGCTGTCTCCCTCTCTGCAGCTCTCTCTCGCACTCTTTCTCTCGCACTCTCTCTCTTGCCCTCTCTCTCTCGCCCTCTCTTTCCCTCTCTTTCTCTTGCTCTCTCCCCCCTCTCTCTCACTCTCTCTCCCCATCTCTTTCTCTCTCTCTCCTTCTCTGTCTCCTTCCCTATCCCCCACCCAAAAAAAGAAAACAATAATAATAATCAGTATCTGTGACTCACATTGTGAATTTCCATGTCCTCTACTGGGCCCCTTCTGGAAACTTAGAGAGGTTTGAATGATGGCACAGAGCAAACAGAATCCACTGGTCTCCGTACATGAGGGGGCACACCTCAAAAATTACTGGCCTACATTTTTCGTACCACCACCTTGCTTCAGAACTCAAGATATGAGAACACACATGTTAAATCCCTGGCAAAATGCCCCATAACCAAGCTTTGCTATGAAAATCCATCTTTGAGAAGAAGGAAATCTTTATCACTCAAGATACTAAGGGATCATGTCCAAGCTGTATCAAAAGTAACCTTTCTGGATGTGACTCCATTCATGGAAGAACTTCTGTCTCAGCCAGTGGACAGATTCCACATTAGTAGGTATCTAATATCATCATTATGTGGATGAACTGATTGTATGAGGCAGCAAAATTAGGGAGATATTAGAAAGCTTGTTTACTTAAGCAGTCCTCCTCTTTTTCACAGGGATCCCTTCTTCAGAGAAGTCCTTAAGAATAACTGTTAGATTCTGGACGAATAACGTCATCCAGGTGCCTGGCTTCATGTCCTCACAAAGTCGAATATTCTCCAGTAATCTCTTTGCTTTCTGTTACTTCTGATGAGCCTATGGGTCTCTTTCAAAAGGAGGCAGCAAAGGAGGATGCTAAGCTTGGTCAATGATGAAATCTTCGTCTTGACTCTAGGGAGATGTTTCTTAAAATTCTTGTGCAATAAGTTCTGCTGAAGACTTTCTTAGGTAACAGGTGTGCATACTGACATGAGAGGGAGTATTGTCCTGACATTGCTTAGTTGTGTAGCACTCTAAGTCAGATAGGCTCTCCAGGGGTACTCCACCCTGAGGAAATAGACAAATTTGATTGTAATGTTTTCACCCCTTTCACAAACCTTGGTACTTTAACCACTCATTCCATGCCACAAATTCTCTATTTGTGTCTCTCAATGATATATTCTGCCTAAGCTGGATGGATGGGTCACACCATGCTACGAGAGAGCATGACTGGGATTGGGATTCATGACCATCATTCATAAGTTCCTTGGGCCACTTAGGCATGGTACTCTCAGTTCTGGAGGCAAACGGAATTCTGAACCAATATGAGGACCTTTTCTGTTGAAACCAGTATGAGACTGAAGCAATGAGTGTCCAAAGATGCCCTAAGCCTGGTGTTTGAAGATGTCCATGGTCTCCTCTCAACTCAGGGAGAAGTGAATTTTGTCTAGCATGTGACAAACTGGAGAAGCAGGCCATGAATAATTGCTAAAGCATTATTTCACGCAACTTTCCATTCTCCATTCCATTCCATTCCATTCCATTCCTCTCTATTCCATTCCTTTCCATATCATTCCATTCTATTAGATTCCATTCTATTCCATTCCTTTCCATTCCACTCCATTCCTTTCCATTTCATTCCAATTCTCTCCATTCCATTTCTTTCCTCTCCATTCCATTCCATTCCATTCCATTCCTTTCTATTCCATTCCAATGTATTTCATTTTATTCTATTCCTTTCCTTTCCATACCATTCCAGTCTATTACATTCCAGTCCATTCCATTCCATCCATTCCATTCCATTCCATTCTTTTCCATTCCTCTCCATTCCATTCCATTCTTTCCATTCCATTCAATTCCATTCCATAACATTCCTGATCATTCCTTTCTTTCCTCTCCATTTGTTTCCATTGCGCTCCATTCCATTCCTATCTTTTCCCTTCCATTCCATTCCACTCCTTCCATTCATCTCCATTCCATTCAATTCCATTCCTCTCCATTCCATTCCAATCCTCTCCATTCCTTTCCACATCATTCCATTCCATTCTATTCAGTTCCTCTCCATTACATTCCATTATATTCCATTTCTCTCTACTCCATTCCACACCATTCCTCCCCTCTCCATTCTGTTCCATTCCCTTCCCTTCCTCTCCATTCCATTCCATTCCATGCTTTCCTTTACACTTCATTCATTCCATTCCATTCTATTAGATTCCATTCCATTATTTTCCATACCATTCCATCTATTCCAAACCAGTCCATTCCATTCCGTTCCCTTCCATTCCTCTCCATTCCATTCCGTTCCTTTCCATTCTATTGCATTCCTCTCCATTACATTCCATTATATGCCATTCCTCTCCATTCCATTCCATTTTATTCCATTCTTTTCCATTCTATTCCTTTCCATTAAATTACATTCCAGTCCATTCCTCTCCATTCCACTCCATTCCCTTCCATTCCTCTCCATTCCATTCCTCTCTGTTCCATTATATTCGATTCCATTCCCTTCATCTTCATTCCACTCCGTTCCATTCCATTCCTTCCATTTCTCTCCATTCCATTGCATTCCATTCCATTCCATTCCTCTCCTCTCCATTCCATTCTATTCCATTCCTCTCCAATCCATTCCATTTCATTCCTCTCTATTTCAACCCATTCCATCCCTCTCCATTCCATTCCTTTCCATTCCATTCCATTCCCTTCTTCTTCATTCCATTCTCTTCCTTTCTATTCCATTCCGTTCCTCTCCATTCCATTCCTTTCTATTCCATTCCAACCTATTCCATTTCATTCTGTAACTTTCCTTTCCATATCATTCCAGTCCATTCCATTCAATTCCATCCATTCCATTCCATCCATTTCATTCCATCCATTCCATTCCATTCCTTTACATTACTCTCCATTCCATTCCATTCAATTCTTTCCCATTCCATTCCATTCCATAACATTCCTTCCTTTGCTCTACAATTGTCTCTATTCTGCTGCATTCCATCCCTATCTTTTCCTTTCCATTCCATTCCGCTCCATTCCAGTCATCTCCATTCCATTCAATTCCATTTCTCTCCATTCCATTCCAATCCATTCGATTCCTCCTCATTCCATTCCAATCCATTCCATTCAATTATTCTCCATTCCCTTCCATTACTCTCCATTCCCTTCCATTCCCTTCAATTCCATTCCATTCCTTTCTAATCCATTCCAAACCTTTCCAATCCATTCCATTCCTATCAATTCAATTCCATTCGTCTCCTATCTTCTCCAATCCACTCCATTTCATTCCATTCCATTGCATCCCGCTCCATTCCATTCCATTTAATTCCATTCTATTAGATTCCATTCCATTCCATTCTATTCCAGTTCATTCCTTTGCATTCCATTCCCATGAACCCTGGTTGTGCTGTGTTCTTTGGCTTGTGATCCATGGGGAGCGACACTTTGCCAGAAAAAAGAGGCCCCGACTGATATGTATTTTCTCATCAGGATGTATTTGGAAGAAAGGTCTGTGGGAAGAGGCCTCCCAGTGGAAGTACCAGTTTCCATTTGGACACACCATTTTTGACTCCTCTTTTGTCAGAAACTGGCCTGGAAATAAGCTGCTATCCCAAAAACAAAGGGTTGTAACAAGATGGATGGCCATGAATACTCTGGAATTGAAATAATCTCCCAAGTACTATTCCTGCTTGACTTGTGGTGAGCATATGACTGTCCTTGCTACATATATGGAATTGGCAGATACTTTTGTTGGGTCAATGATGAGTACTTTATATTGCCTAGAGGAGGGATGATGACTTAAATATCAAGTACAATGGCATGACGCTGAGGCCCAGCCTAGAAGACAGTTGTGTAATCCAACATGAGAAACATGCTACTCCATAAAATTCCCCAAGTTATACTTAAACTTTAATCCTCAAGAGTTCCTGGCTCAAATTGTGCCAGACGAAGGCCTTAGTTGCAGTCTTCTTAAGAATCAGGAAATGGGGAATGGTGATGCAAACAAAGAGAGTGAGCTCCAGTCATATTCAGAATGGACAAAAGCTAAGAAGTAGATATGATATCCACTTGTGAATTCATCAACACTGTAGAAAGTTCAAGTGGTGAAAACTCACTGACAAAAAGCAGCAGGCAAGACAAAAACATTCCAAGTATTGTGCCAGAAACCCAATTATTACACTGTAGACAGCTTGATAACTTGAGATTTGAGAGGACACGCATCCAATATGTACCATCCTGAACCCTGGGTATGCTGTGTTCTTTGGATATTGACCCATGGGGATCGCACACTTTCCCAGAAAATCGGTCCCAACTGATATGCATTATCTCATCAGGATGTATTTGTAAAAAAGGTCTGTGGGTAGTTGAAGTTCAGTTTCCTTTTTGACACGTATTTTGGACTCCTCTTCTGACAGAAACTGTCCTGGAAATTAGCTGCTATCCAAAAACAAATGGCTGTAATGATGTAAATGGCCACGGATACTCTGGAATTGAAATATTCTCCCAAACGCTGTTCCTGGTTGACCTGTGGTGAGCATTTGACTGTCCTTGCTACATATATGGAATAGACAAATACTTTTGTTGGGTCAATGATGAGTACTTCATATTGCCTTGAGGAGAGGTGATGACTTAAATATCAAGTACAATGGCATCACGCTGAGGCCCAGCCTAGAAGAAGTTGAGTAATTCAACTTGGGGAAAATGATGATGGTCCCTTTGGTATGATCTAATTGGATGCTGGAGGACTTGATGTACGGGAGGCCATCTTGTGGAGCATGTGGATATGCTACTCCATAAAATTCCCCATGTTATCCTTATACTTTAATCCTCACCCCAGGTGCTGACCATTGTAGCATCCCTTGCCAATCACCACAACACACTTTTTTCTTTCAGGGTAAAATTCTGCTCAGAACGGCTGCATCGCATTCACCATTGTACAAGAGTGCATGGCTTCCACTGGTTGTCATCACCAATGGCTTATCAGTCACTGAGGGTCATCATTCAAAGAGGTGTTCTTGGTTTGGGACGCATGATGGACCTTCAGCAACACATGCAGTTTTCTCTCAAGTCATGGGTGAAGTGGGAGTAAAAGCAACTTTAGTTTCTCTTGGCATACTGTTCTAGGAGCCCCATGCTTTTTTTTCAAAGAGAGGGTTAATACAATTTTGTCCTGCTCTAAGAAGATAGAGATTCATGCTTGTTTAATAATGATCAATGTATTTGTGGATCATGATGTGAATGGACATGTCCTCTGCTGGGTCCCTTCGGAAACCTTTGAGAGGTTTGAATGGTGGCATAGAATAAAGAGAATCCACTGGTCTTTTGATGTGAGGGGGCACACAACTCAAAAATTACAGTCCAACATTTTTTATACAATCGTCTTTCTTCAGAACTCAAGCTATGAAAACACAGGCTAAATCTATGGCAAAATCCCCATAACCAAGTTTTGTTATGGAAATCCACATTTGAGAAGGAGGAACTCTTTCCACCTGAGATACCAAGGGTGGCATGAACAAGCTGTATCAAAAATAACCTGTCTGGACTTGGCTCCATTCATGAAGAAACTTCTGTCTCAGCCTACTTGACGGATTCCACATGAGTATGTATCTAATTACATCATTGTGTGGATGAACCGATTGTTTGAGACAGCAAAATTAGGGAGATATTAGACAGCTTGTTCAATCAAGTTGTCCTCCTCTTTTTCACAGGGATCCCTTCTTCAGGGAAGTCCTTGGGAATAACTGCTAGTTTCTGGACGAAGCACGTTATCCAGGTGCTTGGCCTCATGTCCTCACAAAGTGAAATAGTCTCCACTAATCTGATCATATTTGGTTACTTATGGTGAGCCTAGGGGCCACTTTCAAAGGAGGATGCTTAACTGGATCAGTGATGAAATCTTTGTGTTGTCTCTACAGGTGTTGTCTTAAAAGTCTTGCACAATAGGGTAATTCTAAGGACCTTCTTAGATGACAGGAGTGCATACTGGTGCAAGAGGGAGAATAGCCCTGACATTTCTCTAGTTGTGGAGCACTCTAAGGTTGATAGGCTACCCAGGGGGACTCCACCCTGAAGAAGCAGTTCCCCATAAAATAGACAAATTCGATTGTAATGCCTTCACCCCTTTCACAAAGGCCAGGCACATTAACCACATCTCCCACACCACAAAATCTGTATTTCTGTATCTCAATGAAATATTCTGCCCACGCTGGAGGGATGGCACATAGCATGCTATGAGGGCATGACTGGGATTGGGATTAATGACCATAATTCATAAGTTCATGGGGGCCACTTAGGCATGGGGCTCTCAATTTTGGAGGCAAAATGAATTCTGAACCAATATGAGGACCTTTTTTCTTGAGACCTATATGTGACTAGAGCAATGAGTGTCCACAGACGTAATAAGTCTGGTGTTTGATTATGTCCATGGTCTCTTCTAAACTCAAGGAGAAGAAGATTTTACCAATCATGAGACAAACTAGAGAGGCAGGCCATGAATGCATGCTAAAAGATTCTTTTGCTCAACTTGTGCCAGACGATGGGCTTAGTTGCACATCTTCTTAGGAATCAGGTAATGTGAAATAGTGACATAAAAAGGAGAGTTGGCTCAAGTCATATTGAGTGGGGACAAAAACAAAGAAGTAGATTTGATTTCCACTTGTCAATTCATCAACACTCTTGAACGTTGAAGCTGTGAATACTCACTGATTAAAAGGAGCAGGCTAGACACAAAGTTACCAAATATTGCACAAGAAACCCAATTATTACATGTTAGACCTCTTGATAACTTGAGATATGAGAGGACACAGATCCAGCATGTACCACTCTGAAACCTAGGTGTGCTATGTTCTTTGGCTTGTGATCAATTGGGATTGCACACTTTGCCAGAAAAAAAGAAGTACCGACTGATATGTGTTGTCCCGTCAGGATGTATTTGAAAGAAGGGTCTCTGAGAAGAGGCCTCCCAGTTGATTTATCCGTTTCCATTGGACAGATCGTTTTTGACTCCTCTTCTGCCAGAAACTGGCCTGGAAATAAGCTGCTATCCCCACAAAAAAAGGGCTGTAACAAGAAGGATGGCCATGGATCCTCTGGAATTGAAATATTCTCCCAAGTGCTGTTCCTGCTTGACTTGTGGTGAGCATATGACTATCCTTGCCGCATTTATAGAATTGGCAGATACTTTCCTTGGGTCAATGATGAGTACTTTATATTGCCTTGAGGAGCAGTGATGACTTAAACATCAAGTACAATAACATGACGCTTAGGCCCAGCCTAGAGGACAGTTGTGTAATCCAACATGGGAAACTTGATGATGGTCCCTTTTGTATGATCTAGTTTGGTGCTGCAGGACTTGTTGTATGGGAGGTCACAAGGAGCATGTGTATATGCTACTCCATAAAATTCCCCATGCTATTCTTAAACTTTAATCCTCATCAGAGTTCCTGGCGATTTTACCATTCATTGGTGATCACCACAAGACACTTTGTGTCTTTCAGGGGGAAAATCTGCTCAGAATGACTGCATGGCATGCACCTTCGTAAAGGAGTGCATGACCTCGTTTGGTTGTCATGACCAATGGTTTACCAGTCACCGAGGGTCATCATTCAAGGAGATGTTCTTGGTCTCAGAGGCAAGCTGGACCTTCAGCAATGCATGCAGTTTTCTCTCAACGCATGCTTGAAAATGGAAAAAAGCTGCCTTGTGGTTCCCTCAGAGTGGTGTTTCCTGAGCCCCCTCTTTCATTTTCAAATGGAGTGTGAATACACTTTTGTCCTGCTCTAAGGAAAGAGTGATTCATGCTTCTTTGAAATTAATCAGTGTATCTGTGACTAACGATGCGAATGGCCATGTTCTCTGCTGGGCCCCATCTGGAAACTTAAGAGGTTTGAATGGTGGCACAGAACAATGAGAATCCACTGATCTCCTGACATGAGGGGGCACACAACTCAATAACTACTGGCCTACATTTTTCATACCACCACCTTTCTTCAGAACTCGAGATATGAGAACACACAGGTTAAATCCCTGGCAAAATGCCCCATAACCAAGCTTTGCTATGAAAATCCATCTTTGAGAAGGAGAAACTCTTTATCACCTGAGATAGTAAGGGAGGCATGTCCAAACCGTATGATAAGTACCCCGTCTGGACGTTACTCCATTCATGGAAGAACATCTGTCTTAGCCTACTGGGCGGATTCCATATGAGTGGGTGTCTACTATCATCATTATGTGGATGAACCGTTTGTATGAGACAGCAAAATTAGGGAGATATTAGAAAGCTTGTTCACCCAAGCTGTCCTCCACTTTTTCACAGGGATCCCTTCTTCAGAGAAATCCTTAAGAATAACTGTTATATTCTGGACGAAGGACGTCATCAAGGTGCCTGGCCTCATGTGCTCCTCAAGTCAAATAGTCTCCAGTAATCTCTTTGCATTCAGTTAATTCTGATGAGCCTATGGGCCTCTTTCAAAAGAAGGTAGCAAATGAGGATGCTATGCTGGGTCAATGATGAAATCATCATCTTGACTCTACTGAGGTGTTTTCTTAAAAGTCTTGTGAAATAGTGTTATGCTGAGGACCTTCTTATGTGACAGGTGTGCATACTGATGTCAGAAGGAGCAATGTTCTGACTTTGCTTAGTTGTGTAGCACTCTAAGCCTGATATGCTATCCAGGGGAACTCCACCCTAAGGAAGCAGTTCTCCATGAAATAGGCAAATTCAACTGTAATGTCTTCATGCCTTTCAGAAAAGCTGGGCACTTTAACCACGCATTCCATACCACAAATTCTCTATTTCTGTCTCTCAATGAATTATTCTGCCCATGCTGGATGGATGGCATGCACCATGCTGCAAGAGAGCATGTCTGGGATTTGGATTCATGACCATCAGTCATAAGTTCCTTGGGCCACTTCAGAATGGTACCCTCAGTTCTGGAGGCAAAAGGAATTCTGAAACAATATGAGTCCCTTTTCTCTTGAAACCAGTATGTGACTGGAGCAGTGAGGGTCCAAAGGTATCCTAAGCCTGGTGTTTGATGATGTCCATGGTCTCCTCTCAACTCAGGGAGCAGAGGATTTTGTCCAGCATGTGACAAAGTGGAGAGGCAGGTCATGAATACATGCTAAAGCATTCTTTCGCTCAACTTGTGCCATATGGAGGCCTTACTTGCACATCTTAGGCATCAGGGAATGTGAATTGGTGATGCAAACAAGGAGAGTAGGCTCCACTCATATTCAGAGGGACAAAAACTATGAAGTAGATATGATATCCACTTGTGGATTTATCAACACTCTAAGAAGCTCAAGTGGTGAAAATTCACTGTCTAAAAGCAGCAGGCTAGTCACAAACATTTCAAATATTGCCTAAGAATCACAATTATTACACTGTAGACTGCTTGATAACTTGAGATTTGAGAAGATATGCATCCAATATGTACCACACTGAACCCTTGTTATGCTGTGTTCTTTGGATCCTGAAACATGGAGGATCGCACACTGCCAGAAAATAGGATTCAACTGCTATGTATTGTCTCATCAGCATGTATTTGGAAGAAAGGTCTGTGGGAAGTCAGTTTCCTTTTTGAAACGTATTTTGGACTCCTCTTCAACCAGAAACTGGCCTGGAAATAAGCTGCTAATTCAAAAGCAAATGGCTGTAATGACGTGGATGGCCATGGATTGACTGGAATTGAAATTTTCTCTCAAATGCTGTTCCTGGTTGACTTATGGTGAGCCTATGACTGTCCTTGCTACATATATGGAATTGGTAGATACTTGTGTTGGGTCAGCAATGAGTACTTTATATTGCCTTGAGGAGCGGTAATGAGTTAAATATCAAGTACAATGGCATGACGCTGAGGCCCACAATAGAAGACATTTGTGCAATCCAACTTGGGGAAAATGATGATGGTGCCTTTGGTATGATCTAATTTGGTGCTGGAGGACTTGAAGTACGGGAGTTTATCGTGTGGAACATGGGGATATGCTACTCCATAAAATTCTCCATGCTATACTTATACTTTAATCCTCATCTCAGATACTGACTATTTTAGCATCAATTGCTGATCACCACAATACATTTTTTTTCTTTCAGGGCAAAATTCTGCTCAGTATGGCTGCATGGCATTTACTGTTGTTAAAGAGTGCATGGCTTCCATTGGTTCTCATGACCAATGGATTATCAGTCACTGAGGGTCATCATTCAAGGATGTGTTCTTGGTATGGGAGGCAAGATGGACCTTCAGCAATACATGCAGTTTTCTCTCAAGGCATGGGTGAAACGGGAGTAAACGACACCTTGAGTTTCTCTTGGCAGGCTGTTCTAGGAGCCCAATTCTTTAATTTAAAATGAGGGTGATTGCACTTTTCTCCTGCTCTAAGGAGAGAGAGATTCATGCTTCTTTAATAATGATCAATGTATTTGTGGATCATGATGTGAATGGACATGTCCTCTGCTGGGTACCTTCGGAACACTTTGAGAGGTTTGAATGGTGGCACAGAAAATCCATTGATCTTTTGATGTGAGTGGGCACACAACTCAAAAATTAGTGTCCAACATTTTTCATACCACCGCCTTTCTTCAGATCTCAAGCCATGAAAACACACAGGCTAAATCTCTGGCCAAGTGCTCCATAACCAAGTTTTGTTACCAAAATCCACCTTTCAGAAGGAGCAACTCATTCCCACCTGAGATAACAAGGGTGGCATGTCCAAGTTGTATCAAAAGTACCCTGTCTGGACTTGACTCCATTCATGGAGGAACTTCTGTCTCAGCCTACTTGACGGATTCCACATGAGTAGGTATCTAATTTCATCATTGTGTGGAAGAACCGATTGTTTGAGACAGCAACATTAGTGAGACATTAGACAGTTTGTTCATTCAAGCTGTCCTCTTCTTTTTCACAGGGATCCCTTCTTCAAGGAAGTCTCTGGGAATAACTGCTAGTTTCTGGATGAAGTACGTTATCCAGGTGCTTGGCCTCAGGTCCTCACAAAGTGAAATAGTCTCCACTAACCTCATTGCATTTGGTTACTTATGATGAGCCTAGGGGTCTCTTTCAAAAGGGGGCACCAAAGGAGGATGTTTAGCTGTGTCAGTGATGAAATCTTTGTTTTGTCTCTACAGAGGTGTTGTCTTAAAAGTCTTGCACAATAGAGTTATACTAAGGTCCTTCTTAGGTAACAGGAGTGCATACAGGCATGAGAGGGAGAATTGTCCTGACATTGCTCTAGTTGTGGAGCACTCTAAGGTGGATAGACTACAGGGGGACTCCACCCTGATGAAGCAATACTCCATGAAGTAAGCATTCGATTGTAATGTCTTCACCCCTTTCACAAAAGCTGGGCACGTTAACTACATCTTCCATACCACAAAACCTCTATTTGTGTGTCTCAATGAAATATTCTGGTCACGCAGCATGGATGGCATGCACCATGCTACAAGGGCATGACTGGGATTGGGATTACTCATCGTAATTCATAAGTTCATGGGGGCTGCTTAGGCATGGGCCTCTCAGTTTTGGAGGCAAAATGATTTCTGAACCAATATGAGTACCTTTTCTCTTCAGACTTATATGAGACTAGAGCAATGAATATCCACAGATGCACTAAGCGTGGTGTTTGATGATGTCCGTGGTCTCCTCAGAACTCAAGGAGAAGAAGATTTTGCCAAACATGAAAAAACCTGAGAGACAGGCCATGAATGCATGCTAAAGTATTTTTTCACTCCACTTGTGACAGACGATGACCTTAGTTGCACATCTTCTTAGGAATCAGGTAATGAGGAATGGTGACAAAAACAAGGAGAGTGGGCTCCAGTCATTTAGAGCAGGGACAAAAACAAAGAAGTAGATATGATATCCACTTGGCATTTCATTAACACTCTTGAAAGCTCAAGCGGTGAATACTCACTGATTAAAAGCAGTTCGCTAGACACAAACATTCCAAATATTGCACAAGACACCCAATTATTACACGGTATACCTCTTGATAACTTGATATGAGAGGACACGGATCCAATATGTACCACTATGAACCCTGGGTGTGCTGTCTTTGGCTAGTGATCCATGGGAATCTCACACTTTGCCAGATAAAAAGAGGTACCAACTGAAATGCACTGTCTCATCAGGATATATTTCGAAGAAAGGTCTGTGGGAAGAGACCTCCCAGTGGAAGTATCCATTTCCATTTGGACACACCATTTTTGACATCTCTTCCACCAGAAACTTGCCTGGAAATAAGCTGCTATCCCAAAAACAAAGGGCTCTAATGAGATGGATGGCCACGGATCCTCTGGAATTCATATATTCCCCCAAGTGCTGTGCCTGCTTGACTTGTGGTGAGCATATGACTGTCCTTGCCACATATAGGGAATTGGCAGATACTTTTGTTGTGTCAATGATGAGTATTTTATATTGCCTTGAGGAGTAGTGATGACTTAAATATCAAGTACAATGGCATGACGTTGAGGCCCAGCCTAGAAGACAGTTGTGTAATCCAACATGGGAAAAATAAAGATAGTCCCTTTGGTACGATCTAGTTTGGTGCTGGAGGACTTGTCATAAGGTAGGTCATCAAGGGGAGCATGTGGATATGCTACTTCATAATATTCCCTATGTTATCCTTAAACTTTAATCCTCATCAGAGTTCCTGTCCATTTTAGCATCCCTTGCTAATCACCACATCACACTTTTTGTCTTTTACAGGGGAAATCTGCTCAGAAAGACTGCATGGCACGCACTGTTTTAAAACAGTGCATGGCCTCATTTGGTTTTCATGATCAATGGTTTACCCATCACCAAGATTCATTATTCAAGGAGGTGTTCTTGGTCTGTGAGGCAACCTGGACCTTCAGCAATACATGCAGTCTTTCTCTCAATGCATGCTTGAAAAATGAAAAAAGCGCCTAGAGGATCTCTCGGCATGCTGCTCTAGGAGCCCCATGTTTCATTTTGAAATGGAGTGTGAATACACTTTTGTCCTGCTCTAAGGAAAAAGAGATTCATGTTTCTTTAAAAATAATCAGTGTATTTGTGACTCACGATGTGTATGGCCATGTCCTCTGCTGGGTCATTTGGAAACTTAGAGAGGTTTGAATGGTGGCACAGAGCAAAAGAATCCACTGGTCTCCTGACGTGAGGGGGCATACAACTCAAAAATTACTGGCCTACATTTTTTGTACCACCACCTTTCTTCAGAACTCAACCTATGAGAACAAACAGTTTAAATCCCTTGCAAAATGCCCCATAACCAAGCTTTGCTATGAAAATCCACCTTTGAATAGGAAGAACTCTTTATCACCTGAGATACTAAGGGAGGCATGTCCAAGCTGTATCAAAAGTACCCTGTCTGGACATGACTTCATTCATGGAAGAACTTCTGTCTCAGCCTACTGGATGAATTCCACATGAGTAGGTATCTAATATCATCATTATGTGGATGAACCGATTGTATGAGACAGCAAAATTGGGGAGATATTAGAAAGCTTGTTCACCAAAGCTGTCCTCCACTTTTTCACAGGGATCCCTTCTTCAGAGAAGTCCTCAGGAATAACTGTTAGATTCTGAACGAAGGATGTCAACTAGGTGCCTGGCCTCATGTCCTCACAATGTTAAATAGTCTCCAGTAATCTCTTGACATTTGGTTTGTTCTGATGAGCCTATAGGCCTCTTTCAAAAGGAGGCAGCAAAGGATGCTAAGCTGGGTCAATGATGAAATCTTTGTCTTGACTCTAGTGAGGTCTTGTCTTAAAAGTCTTGTGCAATAGAGTTATGGTGAGGACCTTCTTAGGTGACAGGTGTGCATACTGACGTGAGAGGGAGTATTGTCTTTACATTGTTTAGTTGTGTAGCACTCTAAAGTGGATAGGCTATCCAGGGGAACTCCACCCTGAGGAAGCAGTTCTCCTTGAAATAGGCAAATTCGATTGTAATGTCTTTACCCCTTTCACAAAGCTGGGCAATTTAACCACTCATTCCATACCACAAATTATCTGTGTCTCTCAATGAAATATTCTACCCACGCTGGGTGGATGACACCCATCATTTTATGACAGAGTATGACTGAGATTGGGATTCATGACCATCATTCATATGTCCTTGGGCCACTTAGTTATGGTACCTTCAGTTCTGGATGCAAAAGGAATTCTGAACCAATATGAGTCCCTTTGCTCTTGAAACCAGTATGTGACTGGAACATTGGGGGTCCAAGGATGCCCTAAGACTGGTGTTTGATGATGTCCATGGTCTCCTCTCAACTCAGGGAGAAGAGGATTTTGTTGAGCATGTGACAAACTGGAGAAGCAGGTCATGAATACATGCTAAAGCATTCTGTTGCTCAACTTGTGCCACATGAAGGCATTACTTGCACACCTTCTTAGGGATCGGAGATTTTGGAATGGTGATGCAAACATGGTGAGTGGGTTCCAGTCATATTCAGAGGGGACAAAAACTAAGAAGTAGATATGATACCCTCCTGTGGATTCATTAACACTCTAAAAAGCTCAAGCGGTGAAAATTCACTGACTAAAAGCAGCAGGCTAGACACAAACATTTCAAATATTGTCCAAGAATCCCTATTATTACACTGTAGACTACTTGATAACTAGAGATTTGAGATGACACGCATTCAATATGTAACACACTGAACCCTTGTTATGCTGTGTTCTTTGGATCCTGAAATATGGGAATCGCACACTTTGCCAGAAAATAGGATCCAACTGCTATGTATTGTCTCATCAGCATGTATTTGGAAGAAAGGTCTGTGGGAAGTGGCTTCCCAGTTGGAGAATCAGTTTCCTTTTTGAAATGCATTTTGGACTCCTCTGCTGCCAGAAACTGGCCTGGAAATAAGCAGCTATGTCAAAAACAAATGGCTGTAAAGACGTGGATGGCAATGGATACACTGGAATTGAAATATTCTCTCAAACTCTCTTCCTGGTTGACTTGTGGTGAGCATATGACTGTCCTTGCTACATATATGGAATTGGCAGATACTTGTGTTGGGTCAACGATGAGTACTTTATATTGCCTTGAGGATTGGTGATGACTAAAATATCAAGTACAGTGGCATGATGCTGAGGCCCACACTAGAAGAGAGTTGTGTATTCCAACTTGGGGAAAATGATGATGGTCCCTTCATTACCATCTAGTTTGGTGCTGGAGGATTTGACGTACAAAGGTTATCTTGTGGGGCATGTGGATATGCTACTTCATAAAATTCCCCATGTTATCCTTATACTTTAATCCTCATCTCAAATCCTGGTTATTTTAGCATCAATTGCTGATCACCACAACACACTTTTTGCTTTCTTCTCAGTATGAGTGCATGGCATATACCGTAAAATTCTTCTCAGGGTAAAATTCTTCTCAGTATGAGTGCATGGCATATACCGTCATACAAGAGTGCATGGCTTCCATTGGTTCTCATGACCAATGGTTTATCAGTTACCACGGGTCATCATTCAAGGAGGTGTTTTTGGTCTGGGAGGCAAGATGGACCGTCAGCAATGCATGCAGTTTTCTCTCAAGTTATGGGTGAGATGGGAGTAAATGGCACCTTGAGTTTCTCTTGGCAGTTTGTTCTAGGAGCCCAATGCTTCAATTTAAAAGGGAGAGTGAATACACTTTTCTCCTGCTCTAAGGAGAGAGAGATTCATGCTTGTTTTATAATGATTGATGTATTTGTGGCTCAGGTTGTGAATGGACATGTGCTCTGCTGGGTCCCTTCGGAAAACTTCGATAGGTTTGAATGGTGGCACAGAGCAAAGAGAATCCACTGTTCTTTTGATGTGAGGGGGAACACAACTCAAAAATTACTGTCCAATATTTTTCATACCACCGCGTTTCTTCAGAACTCAAGCCATGAATACACACTGACTAAAACTCTAGCAAAATTCCCCATAATCAAGCTTTTTAATGGAAATTCACCTTTGAGAAGGAGGAACTCTTTCCCACCTAAGATCCCAAGGGAGGCATGTTAAAACTATATCAAATGTACCCTGTCTGGACTTGACTCCATTCATGGAGGAACTTCTGTCTCAGCCTACTTGATGGATTCCACATGAGTAGGTATCTAATGTCATAATTGTGTGGATGAACCGATTGTTTGAGACAGCAAAATTAGGGAGATATTAGAGCTTATTCCCTCAAACTATACTCTTTTTCACAGAGATCCCTTCTTCAGGGAAGAACAGCTTGCATCTGGATGAAGAACATTATCCAGGTGCCTGGACTCATAACCTCACAAAGTGAAATAGTCCCCACAAATCTGGTCGCATTTGGTTATTTCTGACGAGCCTAGGGGCCTCTTTCAAAAGGAGACAGCACAGGAGGATGCTTAGCTGTGTCAGTGATGAAATCTTTGTCTTGTCTCTACAGAGGTGTTGTCATAAAACTCTTGCACAATAGAGTTATTCTTAGGATCTACCTTGGTGACATGAGTGCATACTGCTGTGAGATGGAGGACTGCACTGTAATTGCTCTAGTTGTGGAGCACTCTAATGTGGATAGGTGATCCAGGGGACTCCATCTGGAGAAACAATTCTCCATGAAATAGACAAATTCGATTGTAATGTCTTCACCCTTTCACAAAAGACGGGCACATTAACCACATATTCCATACCACAAAATCTCTATTTGTGGCTCTCAAAGAAATATTCTGCCCACGCTGGATGGATGGCACACACCATGCTACGAGGACATGACTGGGATTGGTATTAATGACCATAATTCATAATTTCATGGGAGTTGCTTAGATATGGGACTCTCAGTTTTGGAGGTACAATGAATTCTGAACCAATATGAAGACCTTTTCTCATGAGACCTATATGAGACTAGAGCAATGAGTGTCCACAGACGCACTAAGCCTGGTGTTTGATGATACCCATGGTTTCCTCTAAACTCAAGGAGTAGAAGATTTTGCCAGGCATTTGAGAAACTAGAGAGGCAGGCCATGAATCCATGCTAAAGGATACTTTCGCTCAACCTGTGCCAGACGATGGCCTTAGTTGCACATCTTCTAAGGAATCAGGTAATGTGGAATGGTAACACAAAGATGTAGAGTGGGCTCCAGTCATATTGAGCGGGGACAAAAAGAATGAAGTAGATATGATTTCTATTTGTCGATTCATCAACACTCTTGAAAGCTCAAGTGGTGAATCCTCACTGATTAAAAGCAGCAGGCTAGACAGAAACATTCCAAATATTGCACTAGAGAGTCAATTATTACACGGTAGACCTGTTGAGATATGAAAGGACACAGAACCAATATGTACCACTGTGAACCCTGGGTGTGCTGTCTTCTTTGGCTCGTGATCCATGGGGATCACACACTTTGCCAGAAAAAAAGAGTTCCCAACTGAAATATATTGTCTCGTAAGGATGTATTTGGAAGAAAGGTCTGTGGGAAGAGGCCTCCCACTGGAAGTATCCATTTCCATTTGGACAACCTTTTTTGACTCCTCTTCTGCCAGCAACTTGCCTGGAAATATGCTGCTATCCCAAAAACAGAGGGCTGTAACAAGATGGATGGCCATGGAACCTCTGGAATTGGAATATTCTCCCACGTGCTGTTCCTGTGGACTTGTGGTGAGCATATGACTGTCCTTACCACATGTATGGGATTGGCAGATACTTTTGTTGTGTTAATTATTAGTACTTTACATTGCCCTGAGGAGCAGTGATGACCTATATATCAAGTACAATGGCATGATGCTGAGGCCCAGTCTAGAAGACAGTTGAGTAATTCAACTTGGGGAAAATGATTATGGTCCCTTCATTACGATCTAGTTTGGTGCTGGAGGACTTGTTGTACAGGAGGCCATCTTGTTTAGCACGTGAATATGCTACTCCATAAAATTCCCCATGTTATCCTTATACTTTAATCCTCATCCCAGGTCCTGGCCTTTTTAGCATCCCTTGCTGATCACCACAACACACTTTTTGCTTTCAGAATAAAATTCTGCTCAGAATGGCTGTATGGCATGCACCATCATACAGGAGTGCATGGCTTCCATTGGGTGTCATGAGAAATGGTTAATCAGTCACCGAGGGTCATAATTCAAGGAGGTGTTCTTGGTCAGGGAAGCAAAATAGACCTTCAGAAATATATGCAGTTTTCTCTCAAGTCATGGGTGAAAAGGGAGTAAATAGCACATTGAGTTTCTCTTGGATTGTTGTTCTAGGAACCCCATGCTTGTTTTTCAAAGAGAAGGTGAATATATTTTTGTCCTGCTCTAAGGAGAGAGAGATTCATGCTTGTTTAATAATGATCAATGTATTTGTGGTTCAGGTTGTGAATGGACATGTCCTCTACTGGGTCCCTTTTGAAAACTTTGAGAGGTTTGAATGGTGGCACAGAGCACAGATAATCCACTGGTCTTTTTATGTGAGATGGCACATAACTCAAAAATTACTGTCCAATATTTTTCATGCCATTGCCTTTCTTCAGAGCTCAAACCTTGAAAACGCACAGGCTATATCTCTGGCAAAATGCCCCATAACCAAGCTTTGTTATGGCAATCCACCTGTGAGAAGGTACCAATGGAGGCATGTCCAAGCTGTATCAAAAGTACCCTGTCTGGCTTGACTCCATTCATATAGGAACTTCTGTCTCAGCCTACTGGATGGATTCCACATGAATAGGTATCTAATTTCACCATTGTGTGGATGAACCGATAGTTTTAGGCAGCAAAATTAGGGAGCTAATAGACAGCTTGTTCACTCAAGATGTCCTCCTCTTTTTCACAGGGATCCCTTATTCAGGGATGTCCTTGGGAATAACTGCTAGTTTCTGGACAAAGTACATTATCCAGGTGCTTGGCCTCACGTCCTCACAAAGTGAAATAATCTCCACTAATGTGGATGCATTTCTTTACTTCTGATGACCCTAGCGGCCTACTTCCAATGCAGGCAACAAAGGAGGATGCTTAGCTGGCTCAGTGATGAAATCTTTGTCTTGTCTCTACAGAGGTGTTGTCTTAAAAATCTTGTGCAATAGATTTATGCTGAGGACCTTCTTAGGTGACAGGAGTGCATACTGGAGTGACAAGGAGGATTGTCCTGACATTGCTCTAGTTGTGGAGAACAATAAGGTGGATAGGCTATCCTGGGGGACTCCACCCTGAGAAAGCAGTTCTCCACAAAATAGGCAAATTTGATTATAATGTCTTCATCACTTTCACAAAAGCCGGGCACATTAACCACACCTTCCATTTCACAAAATCTCCATTTGTGTCTCTCAATGAAGTATTCTGCCCATGCTGGATGAATATCACGCACCATGCTATGAGGGCATGACTGGGATTGGGATAAATGACTGTAATTTATAAATTTTGGGGGCCACTTAGGCATGGGACTCTCAGTTTTTTAGGATAATGAATTCTGAACCAATTTGAAGACATTATCTCTTCAGACTTACATGGACTAGATCAATGAATGTCCACAGACACACTAAACCTGGTGTTTGATGATGTCCGTAGTCTCCTCTAAACTCAAGGAGAAGATTTTGCCTAGCATGAGACAAACTAGAGAGGCAGGCCATGAATTCATGCTAGAGGATTGTTTCACTCAACTTCTGGGAAACGATGGCCTGAGTTGCACATCTTCTTAGGAATCAGGTAATGAGGAATGGTGACACAAACAAGTAGAGTGTGCTCAAGTCCTATTGAATGGGGACAAAAACAAAGAAGTAGATATGATATCCACTTGTCAGTTCATCAACACTCTTGAAAGCTCAAGCGGTGAATACTCACTGATTAAAAGCAGCAAGCTAGACACAAACATTGCAAATATTGCACAAGAATCCCAGTAATTACAGGGTAGACCTCTTGATAACTTGACATATAAGAGGACACGGATCCAATATGTACCACTCTGAAACCTGGGTGTTCTGTGTTCTTTGGCTCATGATCCATGGGGATCACACACTTTGCCAGAAAAAAAGAGGTCCCAAAGATATGTATTGTCTCGTCAGGATGTGTTTGGAAGAAATGTCTGTGGGAAGAGGCCTCCCAGTGAAAGTATCCATTTTCATTTGGACAGACCATTTTTTACTCCTCTTCTGCAAGAAACTGGCCTGGAGATAAGCTGCTATCCCTAAAACAAAGGGCTGTAAGAAGATGGATGACCACGGATCCTGTGGAATGGAAATATTTTCACAAGAGCTGTCGCTGCTTGACTTGTGGTGAGCATATGACTGTCCTTGCCACATATATAAAATTGACAGACACATTTGTTGGGTCAATGATGAGTACTTTATATTGCCTTGAGGAGCGGGTGATGACATAAATATCAAATTCAATGGCATGATGCTGAGGCCTAGTGTAGAAGACAGTTGAGTATTCTAACTTTGGGAAAATGATGATGGTCCCTTCAGTACGATCTAGTTTGCTGCTGGAGGACTTGACGTATGGGAGGCCATCGTGTGTAGCATGTGGACATGCTACACCATAAAATTCCCCATGTATTCCTTATACTATAATCCTCATCCCAGAACCTGTCTATTTTAACATCCCTTGGTGATAACCACAACACCCTTATTACTTTCAGGGTAAAAGTCTGGCCATAATGGCTAGATGGCATGCACCATCGTACAGGAGTGCATGGCTTCCATTGGTTGTCATGAACTATGGTTTATCAGTCATCGAGGGGCATCATTCAAGGAGGTGTTCTTGGTCTTGGAGGCAAGATGGACCGTCAGCAATGCATGCAGTTTTCTCTCAAGTCATGGGTGAAACGGGAGTAAGTGGCACTTTGAGTTTCTCTTGGCATGCTGTTCTAGGAGTCCCATGCTTGTTTTTCAAAGAGAGGGAGAATACACGTTTGTCCTGCTCTAAGGAGAGAGAGATTCATGTCTGTTTAATAATGATCAATGTATTTGTGGCTCAGGTTGTGAATGAACATGTCCTCTGCTGGGTCCCTTCAGAAAACTTCAATAGGTTTGAACGGTGGCACAGAACACAGAGAATTCACTGGTCTTTTGATGTGAGGGGCACACAACTCAAAAATTGCTGTCCAACATTTTTCATGCCACCGCCTTTCTACAGAACTCAAGCCAGGAAAACACACAGGCTAAATCTCTGGCAAAATGCCCCATAACCAAGCTTTGTTATGGCAATCCGCCTTTGAGAAGGAGGAACTCTGTTCCACCTAAGATACCAAGGGACATATGTCCAAGCTGTATCAAAGAACCCTGTGTGCACTTGAGTCTATTAATGCAGGAACTTTTGTCTCAGCCTACTCGATGGATTCCTCATGAATAGGTATCTAATTTCATCATTGTGTGGATGAACCGATTGTTTGAGACAGCAAAATTAGGGAGATATTAGACAGCTTGTTCACTCAAGCTGTCCTCCTCTTTTTCACAGGGATCCCTTCTACAGGAATGTCCTTGGGAATAACTGCAAGTTTCTGGATGAAATAAGTTATCCAGGTGCTAGGCCTCAGGTCCTCACAAAGTGAAATAATCTCCACTAATCTGGTCTCATTTGGTTACTCCTGATGAGTCTTGGCACCTCTTTCAAAAGGAGGCAACAAAGTAGGATGCTTAGCTGGGTCACTGATAATAACTTTGCCATGTCTCTACAGAGGTATTGTCTTAATAGTCTTGCACAATAGAGTTATGCTGAGGACCTTCTTAGGTGAAAGGAGTGCATACTAGCATGAGAGGGAATATTGTCCTGACATTACTCTAGTTGTGGAGCACTAAAAGGTGGATAGGCTATCCAGGGGGACTCCACCCTGAGGAAGCAGTTCTCCATGAAATAGGCAAATTCGATTGTAATGACTTCACCCCATTGACAAAAGCCAGGCACATTAACCACATCTTCCATACCACAAAATCATGTTTGTGTCTCTCAATGAAATATTCTGCCCACGCTGGATGGATGGCATGCACCATGCTATGAGGGTGTGACTGGAATTGGTTTTAATGACCATAATTCATAAGTTCATGGGGGCCACTTAGGCATGGGACTCTCAGTTTTGGAGGTAAAATGAATTCTGAACCAATATGAGAACCTTTTCTTTTCAGACCCATATGAGACTACAACAATGAATGTCCACAGACACATGAAACCTGGTGTTTGATAATGTCCGTGGTCTCCTCTAAACTGAAGGAGAAGAGTTTGCCAAGCATGAGAAAATCTACAGAGGCAGGCCATGAATTAAATGCTAAAGGATTCTTTCGCTCAACTTCTGCCAAACGATGACCTCAGTTGCACATCTTCTTAGGAATCAGGTAATGTGGAGTGGTGACACAAACAAGCAGAGTGGGTTCGAGTCATATTGAATGGGGACAAAAACAAAGAAGTAGATATGCTATCCACTGGTCAATTCATCAACACTCTTGAAAGTTCAAGTGGTGAATGCTCACTGATTAAAAGCAGCAGGCTAGACACAAACATTGCAAATATTGCACAAGAAACTCAATTATTACACAGTAGACCTCTTGATAACTTGAATTATGAGAGGACACGGATCCAATATGTACCACTCTGAAACCTGGGTGACCTGTGTTCTTCGACTCGTGATCCATGGGGTTCACACACTTGACCAGAAAAAAAGATGTCCCAAGTGATAAGTATTATCTCATCAGGATGTGTTTGGAAGAAAGGTCCATGGGAAGAGGACTCCCAGTGAAAGTATTCATTTTCATTTGGACAGACCATTTTTGTGTCCTCTTGTGTGAGAAACTGGCCTGAAAATAAGCTGCCATACCCAAAAACAGGGCTGTAAGAAGATGGATGACCACGGATTCAGTGGAATTGAAATATTTTCCCAAGTGCTGCTCCTGCTTGACTTGTGGTGAGCATATGACTGTCCTTGCTGTATATATGGATTTGGAAGACGGCTTTGGTGGGTCAATGATGAGTACTTTATATTGCATCTAGGAGCCATGATAACGTGAATATCAAGTTCAATGGCATGAAGCTGAGGCCTAGCATAGAAGACAGTTGAGTAAACCAACTTTGGGAAAATGATGATGGTCCTTTCGGTACGATCTAGTTTGGTGCTGGAGAACATGATGTACAGGAGCCCATCGTTTGGAGCATGTAGACATGCTACACCATAAAATTCCCCATGTTTTCCTTAAACTTTAATCCTCATCCCAGGACCTGTCTATTTTAGCATCCCTTGGGGATCACCACAACACACTTATTGCTTTCAAGGTAAAATTCTAGTCAGAATGGCTGCATGTCATGCACCATCGTACAGGAGTGCAGGCATCCATTAGTTGTCATGACCAATGGTTTATCAGTCACCGAGGGTCATCATTCAAGGAGGTGTTCTTGGTCTGGGAGGCAAGATGGACCATCAGCAATGCATGCAGCTTTCTCTCAAGTCATGGGTTAAACGGGAGTAAATGGCAACTTGAGTTTCTCTTGGCATGTTGTTCTAGGAGTCCCATGCTTCTTTTTCAAAGAGAGGTTGAATACACTTTTGTCCTGCTCTAAGGAGAGAGAGATTTATGCTTGTTTAATAAGGATCAATGTATTTGTGAGTCACGATGTGAATGGATATATCCTCTGCTGGGTCCCTTCAGAAAACTTTGATAGGTTTTAATGGTGGCAGAGAGCACAGAGAATTCACTGGTCTTATGATGTGAGGGGCACACAACTCAAAAATTACTGTCCAACATTTTTCCTACTAACACCTTTTTTCAGAGCTCAAGATATGAGAACACACAGTTTAAATCCCTGGCAAAATGCCCCAAAACCAAGCTTTGCTAAGAAAATCCATCTTTGAGAGGAGGAACTCTTTATCACCTGAAATAGTAAGGGAGACATGTCCAAACTATGTGAAAAGTATCCTGCCTGGTCGTGACTCAATTCATGGAAGAAATTCTTTCTCAGCCTACTAGACGGATTCCACATGAGTAGGTATCTAATATCATCATTATGTGGATGAACCAACTGCATGAGACAACAAAATTAGGGAGATATTAGAAAGCTTGTTCACCCAAGCTGTGCTCCACTTTTTCACAGGGATCCCTTCTTCAGGGAAGTCCTTAAGAATAACTGTTAAATTCTGGACTAAAGATGTCATCCCGGTGTCTGGCCTCATGTCCTCACAAAGTCAAATAGTCTCCAGTAATCTCTTGGCATTCACTTACTTCTGATGTGCCCATGGGCCTCTTTCAAAAGTATGCAGCATAGGAGGATGCTAAGCTGGGTCAAGGATGAAAGCTTTGTCTTGACTCTAGTGAGGTGTTTCCTTAAAAGTCTTGTGCAATACAGGTATGGTGAGGACTTTCATAGGTGACAGGTGTGTATAATGAAATGAGAGGGAGAGTTGTACTGACATTGCTTAGTTGTGTAGCACTCTAAGGCGTAGGCAATCCAGGGGAACATCACCCAGAGGAAGCAGTACTCCATGAAATAGGCAAATTCAGTTGAAATGTTTTCATCTCTTTCACAAAACCCGAGCACCTTACCCACGCATCCCATACCACAAATTATCTATGTGTGTCTCTCAATGAAATATTCTGCCCACGCTCGATGGATGGCATGCACCATGCTATGACAGAGCATGACTGGGATTGGGATTCATTACCATAATTCATAAGTTCCTTGGGCCACTTAGGCGTGGTACCCTCAGTTCTGGTAGCAAAAAGAATTCTGAACAAAAATGAGTCCATTTTCTCTTGAATCCGGTATGAAACTGGAACAATGAGGGTCCAAATATGCCCAACGCCTAATGATTGATGATATCCATGGTCTCCTCTCAACTCAGGGAGAAGAGGACATTGAAGAGCATGTGATAAAATGGAGAGGAAGGTCATGAATACATCCTAAAGCATTCTTTTGCTCAACTTCTGTCATACGAAGGTTTTAGTTGCACATCTTCTTAGGAATCAAGGAATGTGGAATGGTGATGCAAATAAGGAGAATGGGCTCCAGTCATATTCAGAGGGAAGAAAAACTAAGAAGTAGATATGATATCAACGTGTGAATTCATCAATACTCTAGGAAGCTCAAGCGGTGAAAACACACTGACTAAAATCAGCAGGCTAGAAAAAAACATTCCAAATATTGCCTAGGAAACCCACTTATTACACCGTAGAATGCTTGATAACTTGAGATTTGAGAGGACACGCATCCAATATGTACCACACTTAACCCTGGGTATACTGTGTTCTTTGGATCCTGATCCATGGGGATCGCACACTTTGCCAGAAAACAGGTCCCAACTGATACATATTGTCTCATCAGGATGTATTTCGAATAAAGGTCTGTGGGAAGTGGCCTCCCAGTTGAAGTATCAATTTCCTTTTGGACACACATTTTGGACTCCTCTTCTGCCCAAAGTGGCCTGGAAATAAGCTGCTATCCCAAAAACAAATGGCTGTAATGACGTGAATGGCCACGGATCCTCTGGATTTGAAACATTCTCCCAAACGCTCTTCCTGGATGACTTGTGGTGAGCATATGAGTGTCCTTGCTACATATACGGAATTGGCAGATACTTTTGTTGGGTCAATGATGAGTACTTTATATTGCCCTGAGGAGCGGTGATGACTTAAATATCAAGTACAATGGCATGACGCTGAAGCCCAGCTTTGAAGACAGTTGGATAATGCAACTTGGGGAAAATATGATGGTCCCTTTGGCACAATTTAGTTTGGTGCTGGAGAACTTGATGTATGGGAGACCATCTTGCAGAGCATGTGGATATGTTACTCCATAAAATTCCCCATGTTACCCTTATACTTTAATCCTCATGCCAGGTCCTGGCCATTTTAGCAATCTTTGTGGCACACCACAACACACTTTTTGCTTTCAGGGTAAAATTCTGCTCAGAAGAGCTGCATGGCATGCACCATCGTACAGGAATGCATGGCTTCCATGGGGTGTCAATGAGCAATGGTTTATCAGTCACTGAGTGTCATAATGCAAGGAGGTGTTCTTGGTCTGGGAGGCAAGATGGGCCGTCAGAAATGCATGCAGTTTTCTCTCAAGTCATGGGTGAAACGGGAGTAAGCGGCACCTTGAGTTTCTCTAAGCATGCTGTTCTAGGAGCCCCATGCTTGTTTTTCAAAGCGTGGGTCAATACACCTTTGTCCTGATCTAAGGAGAGAGAGATTCATGCTTGTTTAATAATGATCAATGCATTTGTGGCTCAGGTTGTGAATGGATATGTCCTCTGCTGGATCCCTTGGGAAAATTTTGATAGGATTGAAAGGTGGCACAGAGCACAGACAATTCTCTGGTCTTTAGATATGAGGGGCACACAACTCAAAAATTACTGTCCAACATTTTTCATACCACCGATTCTCTTCAGAACTCAAGCCATGAAAACACACAGGCTAAATCTCTGGCAAAATGCCCCATAAGCAAGCTTTTTTTACGGCAATCCACTTTTGAGAATGTGGAACACTTTCCCTCCTGAGATACCAATGGAGGCATGTCGAAGTTGTTTCAGAAGTACCCTGTCTGCACCTGAATCTATTCATGGAGGAACTTCTATCTTAGGCTAGCGGACGAATTTCACATGAATAGGTATCTAATTTCATCATTGTGTGGATGAACCGATTGTTTGAGACACCAAAATTAGGGAGATATTAGACATCTTGTTCACTCAAGCTGTCCTCCTCTTTTTCCCAGGGATCCCTTCTTCAGGGAAGTCCTTGGGAATAACTGCTATTTTCTGGATGAAATACGTTATCCAGGTGCTTGGCCTCATGTCCTCACGAGGTAAAATAGTCTCCACTAAACTGGTCTCATTTGGTTCCTTCTAATGAACCTAGGGGCCTCTCTCAAAAGGAGGCAGTAAAGGAGGATGCTTATCTGGGTCTTTGATGAAATCGTGGTCTTGTCTCTACCGAGGTGTTGCCTTAAAAGTCTTGCAAATAGAGTTATGCTGAAGCCCTTCGTAGGTGACAGGAGTGCATACTGTCATGAGAGGGAGGATTGTCCTGATATTGCTCTAGTTGTGGAGCACTCTAAGGTGGAAAGGCTATCCAGGGGGACCGCACACCAAGGAAGCAGTTCTTCATGAAATCAGCAAGTTCGATTGTAATGTCTTCATCCCATCCACAAAAGCCGAGCACATTAATCACATCTTCCATACCACAAAATCTCTATTTGTGCTTCTCAATGAAATATTCTGCCCACGCTGGAGAGATGGCACACACCATGCTATCAGCATATGACTGGAATTGGTATGAATGACCATAATTCATAAGTTCATGGGGGTTGCTTAGGCATGGGACTCTCAGTTTTGGAGGCAAAAGGAATTCAGAACCAATATGAGGATATTTTCTCTTCAGACATGTACAAGAGTAGAGTAATGAATGTCCACAGACGCACTAAGTCTGCTGTTTGATGATGTCCGTGGTCTCCTCTGCACTCAAGGAGAAGAAGATTGTGCCGAGGGTGTGAAAAACTTAGAGAGGCAGACCGTGAATACATGCTAAAGGATTCTTTCGCTGAACTTCTGTCAGACGATGGCCTTAGTTGCACATCTTCTTAGGAATCAGGTAATGTGGAACGGTGACACAAACAAGGAGAGTGGGCTCCAGTCATATTGAGTAGAGACAAAAACAAAGTAGATATGATATCCACTTGCCAATTCATCAACACACTTGAAAGGTCAAGCGCTGAATACTCACTGTTTAAAAGCAGCAGGCTAGACACAAACATCCCAAATATTACACAAGTAACCAAATGATTACACGGTAGACCTCTTGAGATATGAGAGGACACGGATCCAGTATGTACCACTCTGAAATCTGGGTGTGCTGTGTTCTTTGGCTCGTGATCCATGGGGATCTCCAACTTTGCCAGAAATAAAGATTTCCCAACTGATGTGTATTGTCTCATCAGGATGTACTTGGAAGAAAGGTCTGTGGAAAGAGGCCGCCCAGTGGTAGTTTCCGTTTCCATTTGGACACACCATTTTTTTCTCCTCTTCTGCCAGAAACTGGCCTGGAAATAAGCTGCTATCTCTTAAACAAAGGGTTGTAACAAGATGGATAGCCAGTGATACCCTGGAATTGAAATATTCCCCCATGTGCTGTTTCTGCTTGACTTGTGGTAAGCATATGACTGTTCTTGTTGCATGTATGGAATTGGTAGATACTTTTGTTGTGTCAATGATGAGTACTTTATATTGCCTTGATGAGCGGTGATGACTCAAATATCAAGTACAATGGCATGACGCTGAGGCCCAGCCTAGAAGACAGTTGTGTAATAAAACATGGAAAAAATGATGATGGTTCCTATGGTCCGATCTACTTTGGTGCTGGAGGACTTGACATACCGGAGGCCATCAAGAAGAGCATGTGGATATGCTACTCCATAATATTCCCCATGTTATCCTTAAACTTTTATCCTCATCAGCATTCCTAACCATTTTAGAATCCCTTGCTGATCACCACATCACACTTTTTGTCTCTCAGGGGGAAAATCTGCTGAGAATGACTGCATGGCATGTACCGTCATAAAGGAGTGCACGACCTCATTTGGTTGTGATGAGCAATGGTTTACAAGGCAGCGAGAGTCATCATTCAAGGAGGTGTTCTTGTTGTGTGAGCCATGCTGGACCTTCAGCAATGCATGTAGTTTTTCTCTCAATGCATGCTTGAGAAAAGAAAAAGGTGCCTTGAGTTTCTCTTGGCATGCTGTTCTAGGATCCCCATGTTTCATTTTCAAATAGAGTGTGAAAACACTTTTGTCCTGCTCTAAGGAAAGAGAGATTCATACTTCTTTAAAAATGATCAGTGTATCTGTGACGTATGATTTGATTGGCCATGTCCTCTGCTGGGACCCTTCTGGAAACTTAGAGAGGTTTGAATGGTGGCAGAGATGAAAGACAATTCACTGGCTTCCTGACATGTGGGGGCAAACAACTCAAAAATTACTGGCCTATATTTTTTATACTACCATGTTTCTTCACAGCTGAAGATATGAGAACACACAGGTTAAATACCGGCCAAAATGCCTCATAACCAAGATTTGCTATACAAATCCATCTTTCAGAAGGAGGAACTCTTTAATACCTGATATAGTAAGGGAGGCATTTCCAAAGTATATGTTAAGTACCCTCTCTGGATGAGACTCCATTCATGGAAGAACTTCTGTCTCAGCCTACTGGAGGGATTCACCAGGAGTAGGTATCTAATATCATCATTATGTGGATGAACCGATTATATGAGTCAGCAAAATTAGGGAGATATTAGAAAGCTTGTTCACCCAAGCTGTGCTCCATATTTCTACAGGGATCCCTTCTTCAGAGAAGTCCTTAAGAATAACTGTTAGATACTGGACAAAGGATGTCATCGAGGTGCCTAGCCTCATGTCCTCACAAAGACAAATAGTCTCCAGCAATGTCTTGGCATTTGGTTACTTCTGAGGAGCCCATGGGACTCTTTCAGATGGAAGCAGCAAAGGAGGATGTTAAGCTGGGTCAATGATGAAATCTTTGTCTTGTCAAGTGCGGTGTTGTCTTAAAAGTCATGTGCAATAGAGTTATGGTGAGGAACTTCTTAGGTGACAAGTGTGCATACTGACGTGAGAGGGAGTATTGTACTGACATTGCTTAGTTGTGTGGCATTCAAGCTATCGAGGGGAACTCCACCCAGAGGAAGCAGTACTCCATGAAATAGGCAAATTCCATTGTAATGTCCTCACTCCCTTCACAAAATTGGGCCATTTAACCATGCATTCCATGCCACAAATTCTCTTTGTGCATCTCTCAGTGAAATATTCTGCCCATGCTGGATGGATGGCATGCAACATGCTATAACAGAGCATGACTGGGATTGGGATTCATGACCATAATTCATAAGTTCCTTGTGCCACTTAGGTATGGTACCCTGAGTTCTATAGACAAAAGGAATTCTGAACCATTTGAGTCTCCTTCATTTTGAAACCAGTATGAGACTGGAGCAATGAGGGTCCAAGGATGGCCTATGACTGGTGTTTGATGATGTCCATGGCCTCCTCTCAACTCAAGGAGAAGAGGACGTCGTCTAGCATGTGACAAACTGAAGAAGCAGGCCATGAATAAACACTGAAGCATTCTTTCGCTCAACTTATCCCAGACTAATGCCATTGTTGCACATCTTCTGAAAATAAGAGAATGTGGAAGGGTGATGCAAACAAGGAGAGTGGGCTCCAGTCATATTCAGAGGGAAAACATTATAAGAAGTACATACTATCCACCTGTGAATTCATCAACAGTCTAGAAACCTCAAGCGGCGAAAACGCACTGACTGAAAGTAGCAGGCTAGACAAAAGCATTTCAAATATTGCCCAAGAACCCCAGTTATTACACTGTAGACTGCTAGATATCTTGAGATTTGAGAGACACGCCTCCAATATGTACCACCACCCTGAGCCCTGTGTATGCTGTGTTCTTTGAATTCTGATCCATGGGGATCGCACACTTTGCCAGAAAATAGGTCCCAACTGATACGTATTGTCTCATCAGGATGTATTTCGAATAAAGGTCTGTGGGAAGTGGCCTCCCAGTTGAAGTATCTGTTTCCTTTTGAACATGCCTTTTGGACACCTCTTCTTAAAGAAATTGGCCTGGAAATAAGCTGCTATCCTAAAAACAAATGGCTGTAATGACGTGAATGGCCACGGATCCTCTGGAATTGAAACATTCTCCCAAACACTGTTCCTGATTTACTTCTGGTGAGCATATGACTGTCCTTGCTACATATACGGAATTGGCAGATACTTTTGTTGGGCCAATGATGAATACTTTATATTGCCCTGAGGAGCGGTGATGACTTAAATATCAAGTACAATGGCATGACGCTGAGGCCCAGCCTTGAATACTGTTCAGTAATCCAACTTGGGGAAAATGATGAAGGTCCTTCCGTACTATTTAGTTTGGTGCTGGAGGAATTGACATATGGGAGGCCATCTTGTGGTGCGTGTGGATATGCTACTCCATAAAATTCCCCATGTTATCTTTATACTTTAATACTCATGCCAGGTCCTGGCCATTTTAGCAAACCTTGTGTCCCACCACATCACACTTTTTGCTTTCAAGTAAAATTCTGCTCAGAACGGCTGCATGGCATGCACCATCGTACAGGAGTGCATGGCTTCCATTGGGTGTCATGAGCAATGGTTTATCAGTCACCGAGGGTCATCAAGCAAGGAGGTGTTCTTGGTCTGGGAGTCAAGATGGACCGTCAGCAATGCATGCAGTTTTCTCTCAAGTCATGGGTGAAACGGGAGTATGCGGCACCTTGAGTTTCTCTTGGTATGCTATTCTTGGAGCCCCATGCTTGTCTTTCAAAGTGAGGGTCAATACACTTTTGTCCTGCTCTAAGGAGAGAGAGATTCATGCTTGTGCAATAATGATCAATGCATTTGTGGCTCAGGTTGTGAATGGACATGTCCTCTACTGGGTACCTTGGGAAAACTTCAATAGGTTTGAATGGTGGCACAGAGCACAGAGAATTCTCTGGTTTTTGATGTGATGGGCATACCATTGAAAAATTCCTGTCCAACCTTTTTCATATCACCGACTTTCTTCAGAATTGAGGCCATGAAAACACACAAGTTAATCACTGGCAAAATTCTTCATAACCAATCTTTGTTATGGCAATCCACTTTTGAGAAGGAGAAACTCTTTCCCACCTGAGATACCAAGTGAGGCATGTCCAAGCTGTATCAGAAGTACCCTGTCTGCACTTGACTCCATTCATGGAGGAACTTCTGTCTCAGCCTACTGGACGGATTCCAATGAATAGGTATCTGATTTCATCAATGTGTGGACGAACCCTTTGTTTGAGACAGCAAAATTAGGGAGATATTAGACAGCTTGTTCACTCAAGCTGTCCTCCTCTTTATCCCAGGGAATCCTTCTTTAGGGAAGTCCTTGGGAATAACTGCTATTTTCTGGATGAAATCCGTTATCCAGGTGCTTGGCCTCATGTCCTCATGAGGTAAAATAGTCTCCACTAATCTTGTCTCATTCGGTTCCTTCTGATGAGCCTAGTGGCCTCTCTAAAAAGGAGGCAGCATAGGAGGATGCTTCTCTGGTTCCTTGATGAAATCTTGGTCTTGTGTCTACTGAGGTGTTGCCTTAAAAGTCTTGCACAATAGAGTTATGCTGAAGCCCTTCGTAGGTGACAGGAGTGCATACTGGCATGAGAGGGAGGATTGTCCTGACATTGCTCTAGTTGTGGAGCACTCTAAGGTGGATAGGCTATCTAGGGGGACTCCACACAAAGGAAGCAGTTCTCTATGAAATAGTCGAATTAGATTGTAATGTCTTCACCCCTTCCACAAAAGCTGGGCACATTAACCACATATTCCATACCACAGAATCTCTATTTGTGTCTCTCAATGAAATATTCTGCCCGCGTTGGATGGATGGCATGCATCATGCTATCTGCGTATGACTGGGATTGGTATGAATGACAATAATTCATAAGTTCTTGTGGGCCGCTTAGGCATAGGACTCTCATTTTTGGTGGCAAAAGGAATTCGGAACCAATGTGAGGACGTTTGCTCTTCAGACATATACAAGAGTAGAGCAGTGAATGTCCACAACTCACTAAACCTGGTGTTTGATGATGTCTGTGGTCTCCTCTGCACTCAAATAGAAGATGATTTTGCCAAGGATGTGACAAAATTAGAGAGGCAGGCCATGAATACATGCTAAAGGATTCTTTCGCTCAACTTCTGCCAGACGATGGCCTTAGTTGCACATCTTCTTAGGGATCAGGTAATGTGGAACGGTGACACAAACAAGGAGAGTGGGCTCCAGTCATACTGAGTGGAGACGAAAACAAAGTAGATATGATATCCACTTGTCAATTCATCAACACACTTGAAAGGTCAAGCGGTGAATACTCACTGATTAAAAGCAGCAGGGTAGACACAAACATCCCAAATATTACACAAGTAACCAAATGATTACACGGTAGACCTCTTGAGATATGAGAGGACACGGATCCAGTATGTACCACTCTGAACTCTGGGTGTGCTGTGTACTTTGGCTCGTGATCCATGGGGATCTCCTTCTTTGCCAGAATAAATGATGTCCCAACTGATAAGTAATGTCTCGTCAGGATGTACTCGGAAGAAAGGTCTGTGGGAAGAGGTCTCCCAGTGGAAGTTTCCATTTCCATTTGGACACACCGTTTTTCACTCCTCTTCTGCCAGAAACTGGCCTGGAAATAAGCTGCTATCTCTTAAACAAAGGGTTGTAACAAGATGGATGGAAACTGATCCTCTGGAATTGAAATATTCTCCCATGTGCTGTTCCTGCTTGAATTGTGGCAAGCATATGACTGTCCTTGCCACATATATGGAATTGGTAGATACTATAGTTAGGGCAAAAATGAGTACTTTATATTGACTTGAGGAGTGGTGATGACTCAAATATCAAGTACAGTGACATGACGCTGAAGCCCAGTCTAGAAGATAGTTGTGTAATCTAACATGGGAAAAGAGATGATGGTCCCTTTGGTAGGATCTAGTTTGGTGGTGGAGGACTTGTCATACCGGAGGCCATCAAGTGGAGCATGTGGATATGCTACTCCATAATATTCCCCACGTGATCTTTAAACTTTAATCCTCATCAGCGTTCCTGGCCATTTTAGCATCCCTTGCTGATTACCACATCACACGTTCTGTCTTTCAGGGGGAAAATCTGCTGATAATGACTGCATGGCATGCACCATCGTAAAGGATGCAGGACCTCGTTTAGTTGTCATGAACAATGGTTTACCAGTCAGCGAGTGTCATCATTCAAGGATGTGTTCTTGGTCGGTGAGGCAAGCTGGACCTTCAGCAAAGCATGTAGTTTTTCTCTCAATGGATGTTTGAGAAAAGAATAAAGTGCCTTGGGTTTCTCTTGGCATGCTATTCTAGGAGCCCCGTGTTTCATTTTCAAATGGAATGTGAATACACTTTTGTCCTGCTCTAAGGAAAAAGAGATTCATGCTTCTTTAAAAATAATCTGTGTATCTGTGACTTACGGTTTGAATGGCCATTTCCTCTGCTGGGCCCCTTCTGGAAACTTAGAGAGGTTTGAATCGTGGCCCAGAGGAAAGAGAATCCACTGGATTCCTGACATGAGAGGGCAAACAACTCAAAAATTACGGGCCTACATTTTTCATACCATCACGTTTCTTCACAATTCAAGATATGAAAACATACATGTAAATCCATGGCAAAATGCCCCATAACCAAGCTTTGCTATGCAAATCTATATTTGAGAAGGAGGAACTCTTTATGACCTGAGATCGTAAGGGAGGCATATCCAAACTGTATGATAAGTACCCTGTCTGGACGTGACTCCATTCATGGAAGAACTTCTGTCTTAGCCTACTGGACGGATTCCCCATGAGTAGGTATGTAATATCATCATTATATGGATGAACCGATTGTATGAGACAGCAAAATTAGGGAGATATTAGAAAGCTTGTTCACCCAAGCTGTCCTCCACTTTTGCACAGGGATCCTTTCTTCAGAGAAGTCCTTAAGCATGACTGTTAGATAGTGGACTAAGGATTTCATCCAGGTGCCTGGCCTCATGTCCTCACAAAGTCAAATAGTCTCCCGTAATCTCTTGGCATTCAGTTATTTCTGAGGAGCCTATGGGTCTCTTTCAAATGGATGCAGCAAAGGAGGATGTTAAGCTGGGTCAATGATGAAATCATTGTCTTGACTCAAGTGAGGTGTTGTCTTAAAAGTCTTGTACAATAGAGTTATGGTGAGGACCTTCTTAGGTGACAGGTGTGCATACTGACGTAAGAGGGAGTATTGTACTGACATTGCTTAGTTTGTGGCACTCTAAGGCATTCAGGCTATCCAGGGGAACTCCACTCTGAGGAAGCAATGCTCCATGAAATAGTCAAATTCGATAGTAATGTCTTCACACCTTTAACGAAAGCTGGGCACTTTAGCCATGCACTCCTTGCCACAAATTCTCTATGTATATCTCTCATTGAAATATCCTGCCCACACTGGTTGGATGGCATGCACCATGCTATGACAGAGCATGACTGGGATTGGGATTCATGACCATAATTCATAAGTTCCTTGGGCCACTAAGGCATGGTACCCTGAGTTCTGGAGGAAAGGTATTCGAAAACATTTGAGTCCCTTTCCTTTTGAAACCAGTTTGACACTGGAGCAATGAGGGTCAAAGGATGCCCTAAGACTGGTGTTTGATGATTTCCACGGTCTCCTCTCAACTCAGGAAAAGAGGACTTTGTTGAGCATGTGACAAAGTGGGGAGGCAGGACATGAATACATACTAAAGCATTCTTTCGCTCAACTAGTGCCAGACAAATGCCTTAGTTGCACATCTTCTGAGTAATCAGGGAATATGGAAGGGTGATGCAAACAAGGAGAGTGGCCTCCAGTGATATTCAGAGGGAAAACATTATAAGAAGTAGATACAATATCCACTTGTAAACTCATCAGCAGTCTAGAAAGCTCAAGTGGTGAAAACGCACTGACTGAAAGCAGCAGGCGAGACAAAAGCATTCCAAATATTGCCCAGGAAACCCAGTTATGACACTGCATACCGCTTAATTGCTTGAGATTTGAGAGGACACGCATCCAATATGTACCACCCTGAACCCTGGGTATGCTGTGCTCCTTGGATCCTAATCCATGGGGATCGCACACTTTGCCAGAAAATAGGTCCCAACTGATACGTATGGTCTCATCAGGGTATATTTTGAATAAAGGTCTGTGGGAAGTGGCTTCCCAGTTGAAGTATTAGTTTCCTTTTGGACATGCATTGGACTCCTCTTCTTCCAGAAAGAGGCCTGGAAATAAGCTGCTATACCAAAAAAAAAAGTGGTTGTAATGACATGAATGGCCACGGATCCTTTGGAATTGAAACATTCTCCCAAACACTGCTCCTGGTTGATTTGTGGTGAGCATACGACTGTCCTTGTTACATATATGGAATTGGCAGATACTTTTGTTGGGCCAATGATGAGTACTTTATATTGCCATGAAGAGCGGTGATGACTTAAATATCAAGTACAATGGCATGACGCTGAGGCCCAACCTTGAAGACTGTTGAGTAATCCAACTTGGGGATAATGATTATGGTCCTTTCGGTACAATTTAGTTTGGTGCTGGAGGACTTGACATACGGGAGGCCATTTTGTGGATCGTGTGGATATGCTACTCTATAAAATTCACCATGTTATCCTTATACTTTAATCCTCATGGCAGGTTCTGGCCATTTTAGCAATCCTTGTGGGCTACCACGTCACACTTTTTGCTTTCAGAGTAAAATTCTGCTCAGAATAGTTGCATGGCATGCACCGTCGTACAGGAGTGCATGGCTTCCATTCTGTGTCATGAGTAATGGTTTATCAGTCACCGAGGGTCATCAAGCAAGGAAGTGTTCTTGGTCTGGGAGCAAGATGGATCATCTCCAATGCATACCATTTTCTCTCAAGTCATGGGTGAAATGGAAGTATGCGGCACCTTGAGTTTCTCTTGGCGTGCTGCTCTAGGAGCCCCATGCTTAGTTTTAAAGCGAGGGTCAATACACTTTTGTCTTGCTCGAAGGAGAGAGGGTTTCATGCTTGTTTAAAAATAATCAATGCATTTGTGGCTCAGGTTGTGAATGGACATGTCCTCTGCTGGTTCCCTTGTGAAAACATCGATAGGTTTGAATGGTGGCACATAGCACAGAGAATTTTCTGGTCTTTTGATGTTTCAGGCATGCAACTCAAAAATTCCTGTCCAACATTTTTCATACCACCGACTTTCTTCAGAACTCAAGCCATGAAAACACAGAGGCTATATCTCTGGCAAAATGCCCCATAACCAAGGTTTGCTACGCAAATCTATATTTGAGAAGGCGGAACCCTTTATCGCTTGAGATAGTAAGGGAGGCATGTCCAAACTGTATGATAAGTACCCTGTCTGGACGTGACTTCATTCATGGAAGAACTTCTGTCTCAGCCTACTGGACGGATTCCCCATGAGTAGGTATGTAATATCATCATTATATGGATGAACCGATTGTATGAGACAGCAAAATTAGGGAGATATTAGAAAGCTTGTTCACCCAAGCTGTCCTCCACTTTTGCACAGGGATCCTTTCTTCAGAGAAGTCCTTAAGCATGACTGTTAGATAGTGGACTAAGGATTTCATCCAGGTGCCTGGCCTCATGTCCTCACAAAGTCAAATAGTCTCCCGTAATCTCTTGGCATTCAGTTATTTCTGAGGAGCCTATGGGTCTCTTTCAAATGGATGCAGCAAAGGAGGATGTTAAGCTGGGTCAATGATGAAATCATTGTCTTGACTCAAGTGAGGTGTTGTCTTAAAAGTCTTGTACAATAGAGTTATGTTGAGGACCTTCTTAGGTGACAGGTGTGCATACTGACGTAAGAGGGAGTATTGTACTGACATTGCTTAGTTTGTGGCACTCTAAGGCATTCAGGCTATCCAGGGAACTCCACCCAGAGGAAGCAGTACTCCATGAAATAGGCAAATTCGATAGTAATGTCTTCACACCTTTCACGAAAGCTGACCACTTTAACCATGCATACCTTGCCACAAATTCTCTATGTATATCTCTCACTGAAATATTCTGCCCATGCTGGTTGGATGGCATGCACCATGCTATGACAGAGCATGACGGGGATTGGGATTCAAGACCATAATTCATAAGTTCCTTGGGCCACTAAGGCATGGTACCCTCAGTTCTGGAGGCAAAGGAATTCAGAAACATATAGGTCCCTTTCCTTTTGAAACCAGTTTGATCTGGAGCAATGAGGGTAGAAGGATGCCCTAAGACTGGTGTTTGATGATTTGCATTGTCTCCTCTCAACTCAGGGAAAGAGGACTTTGTCAAGCATGTGACAAACTGGAAAGGCAGGCCATGAATACATACTAAAGCGTTCTTTCGATCAACTAGTGCCAGACAAATGCCTTAGTTGCACATCTTGTGAGTAATCAGGGAATGTGGAAGGGTGATGCAAACAAGGAGAGTGGGCTCCAGTCATATTCAGAGGGAAAACATTATCAGAAGTAGATACGATATCCACTTGTGAATGCATCAGCAGTCTGGAAAGCACAAGCGGTGAAAACGCACTGACTGAAAGCAGCAGATGACACAAAAGCATTCCAAATATTGCCCAGGAAACCCAGTTATGACACTGCAGACCGCTTAATGGCATGAAATTTGAGAGGACACGCATCCAATATGTACCACTCTGAACCCTTGTTATGCTGTGTTCTTTGGATCCTGATCCATGGGGATCGCACACTTTGCCAGAAAACAGGTCCCATCTGATACATATTGTCTCATCAGGGTGTATTTCGAATAAAGGTCTGTGGGAAGTGGCTTCCCAGTTGAAGTATTGGTTTCCTTTTGGACATGTATTGGACTCCTCTTCTTCCAGAAAGTGGCCTGGAAATAAGCTGCTATACCAAAAAAAATGGTTATAATGATGTGAATGACCACGGATCCTTTGGAATTGAAACATTCTCCCAAACGCTGTTCCTGGTTGACTACTGGTGAGCATACGACTGTCCTTGCTACATATACGGTATTGGCAGATACTTTTGTTGGGCCAATGAAGAGTACTTTATATTGCCATTAGGAGCGGTGATGACTAAAATATGAAGTACAATGGCATGATGCCGAGGCCCAGCCTTGAAGACTGTTGAGTAATCCAACTTGGGGATAATGATTATGGTCCTTTCGGTACAATTTAGTTTGGTGCTGGAGGACTTGACATACGGGAGGCTATCTTGTGGAGCGTGTGGATATGCTACTCTATAAAATTCCCCATGTTATCCTTATACTTTAATCTTCATGGCAGGCCCTGGCCATTTTAGCAATCCTTGTGGCCCACCACACCACACTTTTTGCTTTCAGGGTAAAATTCTCCTCAGAACAGCTGCATGGCATACACCGTTGTACAGGAGTGCATGGCTTCCATTCGGTGTCATGAGTAATGGTTTATCAGTCACCGAGGGTCATCATGCAAGGATGTTTTCTTGGTCTGGGAGCAAGATGGACCGTCTCCAATGCATGCAGTTTTCTCTCAAGTCATGGGTGAAACGGAAGAATGCGGCACCTTGACTTTCTCTTGGCGTGCTGCTCTAGGAGCCCCATGCTTGGGTTTTAAAGTTAGGGTCAATACACTTTTGTCTTGCTCTAAGGAGAGAGAGATTCATGATTGTTTAAAAATGATCAATGCATTTGTGGCTCAGGTTGTGAATGGACATGTCCTCTGCTGGTTCCCTTGTAAAAGCTTCCATAGGTTTGAATGGTGACACAGAGCACGGAGAATTTTCTGGTGTTTTGATGTTTTGGGCTCACAACTCAAAAATTCCTGTCCAACATTTATCATACCACTGACTTTCTTCAGAACTCAGGCCATGAAAACACACAGGCTATATCTCTGGCAAAATGCCCCATGACCAAGCTTTGTTACAGCAATCCACCTTTAAGAAGGAGGAACTCTTTCTCACCTGAGATACCAAAGGAGGCATGTCCAAGCTGTATCAGAAGTACCCTGTCTGCACTTGACTCCATTCATGTTGGATCTTTTGTCTTAGCTTACTGGACGGATTCCACATGAATAGGTATCTAATTTCATCATTGTGTGGATGAACCGATTGTTTGAGACAGTAAAATTAGGGAGATATTGGACAGCTTGTTCACTCAAGCTATCCTCCTCTTTTTCCCGGGGATCCCTTCTTCAGGGAAGTCCTTGGGAATAACTGCTATTTTCTGGATGAAATACCTTATCCAGGTGCTTGCTTTCATGTCCTCATGAGGTAAAATAGGCTCCACTATTCTGGTCTCATTCAGTTTCCTTCTGATGAACCTTCGGACCTCTCTCAAATGAGGCGGCAAAGGAGGATGCTTCTCTGGGTCCTTGATGAAATCTTGGTCTTGTCTCTACCGAAGTGTTGCCTTAAAGGTCTTGCACAATAGAGTTATTCTGAATCCCTTCATATGTGACAGGAGTGCATAAAGGCTGGAGAGGGAGGGTTGTCCTGATATTGCTCTAGTTGTGGAGCACTCTAAGGTGGATGCGCTATCCAGGGGGACTCCACACCAAGGAAGCACTTCTCCATGAAATTGGCAAATTCGATTGTAATGTCTTCACCCCTTTAACAAAAGCCGGGCACATTAACCACATCTTCCATACCACAGCATCTCTATTTGTGTCTCTCAATAAAATATTCTGCCCATGCTGGATTTATGGCACGTATCACACTATCAGCGTATGACTGGGATTGGTATTAATGACCATAATTCATGAGTTCACGGGGGCCGATTGGGCATGGGACTCTCAGTTTTGGAGGCAAAAGGAATTCAGAACCAATATGAGAACCTTTTCTCTTCAGACATAAAGAAGACTAGAGCAATGAATGTCCACAGATGCACTAAGCCTGGTGTTTGATGATGTCCGTGGTCTCCTCTGCACTCAAGGAGAAGAAGATTTTGCCGAGAGTGTGACAAACTTAGAAAGGCAGGCCGTGAGTACATGCTAAATGATTCTTTCGCTCAATTTCTGCCAGACGATGCCTTAGTTGCACATCTTCTTAGGAATCAGGTAATGTGGAACGGTGACACAAACAAGGATAGTGGGCTCCAGTCATATTGAGCGCAGACAAAAACAAAGTAGATATGATATTCACTTGTCAATTCATCAACATGCCTGAAAGTTCAAGCAGTGAATACTCGCTGATGAAAAGCAGCAGGCTAGATACAAATATCCAAAATATTACACAGGTAACCAAATTATTACACGGTAGACCTCTTGAGATATGAGAGTACATGGATTCAGGATATAACACTCTGAACTCTGGGTGTGCTGTGTTATTTGGATCGTGATCCATGGGGTTCTACTTTGCCAGAAAAAAGATGTCCCAACTGATATGTATTGTCTCATCAGGATGTACTCAGAAGAAAGGTCTGTGGGAAGAGGCCTCCCAGTGGAAATTTCCGTTTCCATATGAACACACAGTTTTTACCTCCTCTTCTGCCAGAAACTGACCTGGAAATAAGCTGCTATCTCTTAAACACAGGGTTGTAACAAGAAGGATGGCCACTGATCCTCTGGAATTGAAATATTCTCCCATGTGATGTTCCTGCTTGTCTTGTGGTGAGCATATGACTGTCCTTGCCATATATATATGTAATTGGTAGATACTTTTGTTGGGTCAATGATGAGTACTTTATATTGCCTTGAGGAGCAGTGATGACTCAAATATCAAGTACAATGGCATGACGCTGAGGCCCAGCCTAGAAGACAGTTGTGTAATCCAACATGGGAGAAATGATGATGGTGCATTTGGTATGATCTATTTTGGTGTTGCAGGACTTTTCATAACGGAGGCCATCAAGTGAAGCATGCAGATATGCTACTCCATAATATTCCCCATGTTATCCTTAAAATTTAATCCTCATCAGGGTTCCTGGCCATTTTACATCCCTTGTTGATCACCATATCACACTGATTGTCTTTCAGGGGTTAAATCTGCTGAGAAACACTGCATGGCATGCACCGTTTTAAAGGAGTGTGGGACCTCGTTTGGTTGTCATGACCAATGGTTTACCAGTCAGCGAGAGTCATCATTCAAGGAGGTGTTCTTGTTGTGTGAGACAAGCTGGACCTTCAGCAATGCATGTAGTTCTTCTCTCAATGCATGTTGAGAAAGGAAAAAAGAGCCTTGAGTTTCTCTTGGCATGCTATTCTAGGAGCCCCATGTTTCATTTTCAAATGGAGTGTGAAAACACTTTTGTCCTGCTCTAAGGTAAGAGAGATTCATGCTTCTTTAAAAATATCACTGTATCTGTGACTTAAGATTTGAATGGCCATGTCCTCTGCTGGGCCCCTTCTGGAAACTTAGAGAAGTTTGAATGGTGGCACAGAGGAAAGTGAATCCACTGGGTTCCTGACACGTGGGGGCAAACAACTCAAAAATAACGGGCCTACATTTTCCATACCACCACGTTTCTTCACAACCGAAGATATGAGAACACACAGGTTAAATCCCTGGCAAAATGCTGCATAACCAAGCTTTACTACGCAAACATCTTTGAAAAGGAGGAACTCTTAAATATCAGAGATAATAAAGGAGGCATTTCCAAACTGTATGGTAAGTACCCTCTCTGGACGAGAGTCCATTCATGGAAGAAATTCTGTGTCAGCCTACTGGATGGATTCCACTTGAGTAGGTAAATAATATCATCATTATGTGGATGAACCGATTGTATGAGACAGTAAAATTAGGGAGGTATAAGAAAGTTTGTTCACCCAAGCTGTCCTCCACATTTGCACAGGGATCCCTTCTTCAGAGAAGTCCTTAAGAATAACTGTTAGATACTGCACAAAGGATGTCATCCAGGTGCCTGACCTCATGTCTTCACAAAGTCAAATAGTCTCCAGTAATCTATTCGCATTGGGTTCCTTCTGAGAAACCCATAGGCCTCTTTCAAATGGATGCAGCAAAGGAGGATGTTAAGCTGGGTCAATGATGAAATCTTTGTCTTGGCTCAAGTGAGGTGTTGTCTTAAAAGTCTTGTGCAATAGAATTATGGTGAGGACCTTCTTAGGGGACAGGAGTGCATACTGATGTGAGAGGGAATATTGTACTGACATTGCTTAGTTTTGTGGCACTCTAAGGCATTCAGGCTACCCAGGGGAACTCCACCCAGAGGAAGCACTACTCCATGAAATAGGCAAATTCCATTGTAATGTCTTCACACCTTTCAAAAAATTGGGCATTTTAACCATGCATTCCATGCCAGAAATTCTCTTTGTGTATCTCTCAGTGAAATATTCTGCCCACGCTGGATGGATGGCATGCACCATGCTATGATAGAGCATGACTGGGATTGGGATTCAAGACTATATTTCACAAGTTCCTTGTGCCACTTAGGCATGGTAACCTGAGTTCTGGAGGCAAAAGGAATTCTCAACCATATGAGTCCCCTGCCTTTTGAAACCAGTATGAGACTGGAGCAGTGAGGGTCCAAGGAGGCCCTAAGACTGGTGTTTGATGATGTCCATCGTTTCCTCAAAACTCAGTGAGACTAGGACTTTGTCGAGCATGTGACAAACTGGAGAGGCAGGCCATGAATACACACCAAAGCATTCTTTCGCTCAACTTGTTGCAGACTAACTTCTTTGTTACACATCTTCTGAGCAATAAGGGAATGTGGAAGGGTGATGCAAACAAGGAGAGTGGGCTCCAGTAATATTCAGAGAAAACATTATAAGAAGTAGATACGATATCCACTTGTGAATTCATCAACAGTCTAGAAAGCTCAAGTGGTGAAAATGCACTGACTGAAAGTAGCAGGGTAGACAAAAGCATTCCAAACATTGCCCAAGAAACCCAGTTATTTCTATGTAGACCGCTTGATAGCTTGAGACATGAGAGGACACCCATCCAATATATACCACCCTGAACCCTGTGTATGCTGTGTTCTTTGGAACCTGATCCATGGGGATCGCACACTTTGCCAGAAAACAGGTCCCAACTTATACGTATTGTCTCATCAGGATGTACTTCGAATAAAGGTCTGTGGGAAGTGTTCTCCCAATTAATGTATCAGTTTCCTTTCGGACACGCATTTTGGACTCCTCTTCTGCCAGAAAGTGGCCTGGAAATAAGCTGCTATCCCAAAAACAAACAGCTGTAATGAAATGAATGGCCACGGATCCTCTGGATTTGAAACATTCTTCCAAACGCTGTTCCGGGTTGACTTGTGGTGAGCATATGACTGTCCATGCTACATATACGGAATTGGCAGATACTTTTGTTGGGCCAATGATGAGTACTTTATATTGCACTGAGGAGCGGTGATGACTTAAATATCAAGTACAATGGCATGACGCTGAGGCACAGCCTTGAAGACAGTTGAGCAATCCAACTTGGGGAAAATGATGATGGTCCCTTCGGTACGATTTAGTTTCGTGCAGGAGGACTTGACGTACGGGAGGCCATCTGGTGGAGCATGTGGATATGCTACTCCATAAAATTCCCCATGTTATCATTATACTTTAATCCTCATGCCAGTTCCTGGCCATTTTAGCAATCTTGTGGTCCACCACATCACACTTTTTGCTTTCAGAGTAAATTTCTGCTCGGAACGGCTGCATGGCATGCACCGTCGTACAGGAGAGCATGGATTCCATTGGGTGTCATGAGCAATGGTTTGTCAGTCACCAAGGGTCATCATGCAAGGAGGTTTTCTTGGTCTGGGAGGCAAGATGGACCGTCAGCAATGCATGCAGTTTTCTCTCAAGTCATGGGTGAAACGGGAGTAAGCGGCACCTTGAGTTTCTCTTGGCATGCTCTTCTAGGAGCCCCATGCTTGTTTTTCAAAGTGAGGGTCAATAAACGTTGGTCATTCTCTAAGGAGAGACACATTCAATAGTGTTTAATAATGATCAATGCATTTGTGGCTCAGGTTGTGAATGGACATGTCCTCTGCTGGGTTTTTGGAAAAACATCAATAGGATTGAATGGTGGCACAGAGCACACATAAATCTCTTGTCTTTGATGTGAGGGGCACACCACTCAAAAATTACTGCCCAACATTTTTCCTACCACCGAATTTCTTCATGCTCAAGCCATGAAAACACACAGGCTAAATCTCTGGCAAAATGCCCCATAAGCAAGCTTTGTTACGGCAATCCACCTTTGAGAAGGTGGAACTCTTTCCAACCTGAGATACCAAGGGAGGCATGTCCAAGCTGTCTCAGAAGGACCCTGTCTGCACTTGACTCCATTCATGGAGGAACTTCTGTCTCAGCCTACTGTACGGACTCCACTTGAATAGGTACCTAATTTCATCATTATGTGGATGAACCGATAGTTTGAGTCAGCAAAATTAGGGAGATATTAGACAGCTTGTTCACTCAAGCTGTCCTCCTCTTTTTCCCGGGAATCCCTTCTTCAGGGAAGTCCTTGGGAATAACTGCTATTTGCTGGATGAAATGCATTATCCAGGTGCTTGGCCTCATGTCCTCACGAGGTAAAATAGTCTCCACTAATCTGGTCTCATTCGGTTCCTTCTGATGAGCCTAGCGGCTTCTCTCAAAAGGAGGCAGCACAGGAAGATGTTTATCTGGGTCCTTGATGAAATCTTGGTCTTGTCTCTACCGAGGTGTTGCCTGAAAAGTCTTGCACAATAGAGGTATGCTGAAGCCCTTCATAGGTGACAGGAGTGCATACTGGCACGAGAGGGAGGATGGTCCTGACATTGCTCTAGTTGTGGAGCACTCTAAGGTGGATAGGCTATCCAGGGGGACCCCACACCAAGGAAGCAGTTCTCCATGAAATAGGCAAATTCGATTGTAATGTCTTCACACCTGCCACAAAAGCCGGGCACATGAAGCACACCTTCCCTACCACAAAATCTCTGTTTGTGTCTCTCAGTGAAATATTCTGGCCACGCTGGATGGATGGCCTGAACCATGCTGTCAGCGTATGACTGGGGTTGGTATGAATGACCATAATTCAGAAGGTCATTGGGGCCGCTTAGGCATGGGACTCTCAGTTTTGGAGACAAAAGGAATTCAGAACCAATATGAGGACCTTTCCTCTTCAGACATATACAAGAGTAGAGCAATGAATGTCCACAGATGCACTAAGCCTGGTGTTTGATGATGTCCGGGTCTCCTCTGCACTCAGGGAGAAGAAGATTTTGCCGAGTGTGTGACAATCATAGAGAGGCAGGCCGTGAATATATGCTAAAGGATTCTTTCGCTCAACTTCTGCCAGACGATGGTCTTAGTTGCACATCTTCTCAGGAATAGGTAATGTGGAATGGTGACACAAAAAGGAGAGTGGGCTCCAGTCATATTTAGCAGAGACAAAAAGAAAGTAGATATGATATCCACTTGTCAATTCATCAACACACCCGAAAGGTCAAGCCGTGAAGACTCACTGAATAAAAGCAGCAGGGTACACACAAACATCCCTAATATTACACAGTTAACCAAATTATTACACGGTAGACCTCTTGAGATATAGGAGGACACGGATGACATATGTACCACTCCGAACCCCGGGTGTGCTGTGTTCTTTGGCTCGTGATCCATGGGTATCTCCAACTGTGCCAGAAAAAAAGATGTCCAACTGATATGTATTGTCTCGTCAGGATGTACTCGGAAGAAAGGTCTGTGGGAAGAGGCCTCCCAGTGGAAATTTCCATTTGCATTTGGATACACCGTTTTTAACTCCTCTTCTGTCAGAAACTGGCCTGGAAATCAGCTGCTATCTCTTAAACAAAGGGTTGTAACAAGATGGATGGCCACTGATCCTCTGGAATTGAAATATTCTCCCATGTGCTGTTCCTGCTTCCCTCGTGGTGAGCATATGACTGCCCTTGCCGCATATATGGAATTAGTAGATACTTTTGTTGGGTCAATGATGAGTACTTTATATTGCCTTGAGGAGCGGTGATGACTCAAATATCAAGTACAATGGCATGACGCTGAGGCCCAGTCTAGAAGACATTTGTGTAATCCAACATGGGAGAAATGATGACGGTCCCTTTGGTACGATCTAGTTTGGTGCTGGAGGACCTTTCATACCGGAGGCCATCAAGTTTAGCAGGAGGATATTCTACTGCATCATTTGTCCCATGTTATCCTGAAACTTTAATCCTCATCAGCGTTACTGGCCATTTTAGCATCCCTTGCTGATCACCACATCACACGTTTTGTCTTTCAGGGGGAGAATTTGCTGAGAAGGACTGCATGGCATGCACCGTCGTAAAGGAGTGCAGGACCTCGTTCGGTTGTCATGACCAATGGTTTACCAGTCAACGAGAGTCATTATTCACCAGGTGTTCTTGGTGGGTTAGGAAAAATGGACCTTCAGCAATGCATGTAGTTCTACTCTCAACGCATGCTTGAGAAAGGTAAAAACAGTGCCTTGAGTTTCTCTTGGCATGCTCTTCTAGGAGACCCATGTTTCATATTCAAATGGAGTGTGAATACACTTTTGTCCTGCTCTAAGGAAAGAGAGATTCATGCTTCTTTAAAAATAATCAGTGTATCTGTGATTTACGATATCAATGGCCATGTCCTCTGCTGGGAGCCTTCTGGAAACTTAGAGAGGTTTGAATGGTGGCACAGAGGAAACAGAATACACTGGATTCCTGACATGAGGGGGCAAACAACTCAAAAATTACTGCCCTACATTTTTCATATCGCTACGTTTCTTCACGACTGAAAATATGAGAACACACGGGTGAAATCCCTTGCAAAATGCCCCATAACTAAGCTTTGCTATGGAAATCCATCTCTGAGAACGAGGAACTCTTTATCACCTGAGATAGTAAGAGAGGCATATCCAAACTGTATGATAAGTATCCTGTCTGGATGTGACTCCATTCATGAAAGAACTTCTGTCTCAGCCTACTGGATGGATTCACCACGAGTAGGTATGTAATATCATCATTATGTGAATGAACCGATTGTATGAGACAGCAAAATTAGGGGGATATTCAAAAGCTTCATCGCCCAAGCTGTCCTCCACTTTTTCACAGGGCTCCCTTCTTCAGAGAAGTCCTTAAGAATAACTGTTAGATACTGGACTAAGGATGTCATCCAGGTGCCTGGCCTCATGTCCTCACAAAGTCAAATAGTCTCCAGTAATCTCTTGGCATTCATTTACTTCTGAGGAGCCCATGGGCCTCTTTCAGATGGATGCAGCAAAGGAGGGTGTTAAGTTGGGTCAATGATGAAATCTTTGTCTTGACTCAAGTGAGGTGTTGTCCTAAAAGTCTTGTGCAATAGAATTATGGTGAGGAACTTCTTAGGGGACAGGTGTGCATACTGACGTGACAGGGAGTATGCTACTGACATTGCTTAGTTGTGTGGCACCCTAAGGCATTCGGGCTATCCAGGGGAACTCCACCCAGAGGAAGCAGTACTCCATGAAATAGGCAAATTCGATTGTAATGTCTTCACACCTTTCACAAAAGCTGGGCACTTTAACCATGCATTCCATGCCACAAATTCTCTATGTGTATCTCTCAGTGAAATATTCTGCCCACGCTGGATGGATGGCACGCACCATGCTCTGACAGAGCATGACTGGGATTGGGATTCATGACCACAATTCATAAGTTCCTTGGGCCACTTAGGCATGGTATCCTGAGTTGTGGAGGCAAAAGCAATTCTGAACCGTATGAGTCCCTTTCCTTTTGAAACCAGTATGAGACTGGAGCAATGAGGGTCCAAGGATGCCCTAAGACTGGTGTTTGATGATGTCCATGGTCTCCTCTCAACTCAGGGAGAAGAGGACTTTGTCGAGCATGTGACAAACTGGAGAGGCAGGCCATGAATACATACTAAAGCATTCTTTCGCTCAACTTGTGCACAACTCACGCCTTAGTGGCACATCTTCTGAGGAATCAGGGAATGTGGAAGGGTGATGCAAACAAGGAGAGTGGGCTCCAGTCACATTCACAGGGAAAACATTATAAGAAGTAGATACGATATCCACTTGTGAATTCATCCGGAGTCTAGAAAGCTCAAGCGGCGAAAACGCACTGACTGAAAGCAGCAGGCTAGACAAAAGCATTCCAAATATTGGCCATTAAACCCAGTTATTACACTGTAGACCGCTTGATAGCTTGAGATTTCAGAGGACACGCATCCAATATGGACCACCCTGAACCCTGGGTATGCTGTGTTCTTTGGTGCCTGATCCATGGGGATCGCACACTTTGCCAGAAAACAGGTGCCAACTGATACGTATTGTCTCATCAGGATGTATTTCGAATAAAGGTCTGTGGGAAGTGGCCTCCCAGTTGAAGTATCAGTTTCCTTTCGGACACGCATTTTGGACTCCTCTTCTGCCAGAAAGTGGCCTGGAAATAAGCTGCTATCCCAAAAACAAACGGCTGTAATGACGTGAATGGCCGCGGATCCTCTGGAATTGAAACATTCTCCCAAACACTGTTCCTGGTTGACTTGTGGTGAGCATATGACTGTCATTGCTACATATACGGAATTGGCAGATACTTTCGTTGGGCCTATGATGAGTGCTTTATATTGCCCTGAGGAGCGGTGATGACTTAAATATCAAGTACAATGGCATGACGCTGAGGCCCAGCCTTGAAGACAGTTGAGTAATCCAACTTGAGGAAAATGATGATGGTCCCTTCGGTACGATTTAGTTTGGTGCTGGAGGACTTGACGTACGGGAGGCCATCTGGTGGAGCATGTGGATATGCTACTCCATAAAATTCCCCATGTTATCTTTATACTTTAATCCTCATGCCAGGTCCTGGCCATTTTAGCAATCCTTGTGGCCTACCACATCACACTTTTTGCTTTCAGAGTAAAATTCTGCTCAGAACGGCTGCATGGCATGCACCGTCGTACAGGAGTGCATGGCTTCCATTGAGTGTCATGAGAAATGGTTTATCAGTCACCGAGGGTCATCATGCAAGGAGGTGTTCTTGGTCTAGGAGGCAAGGTGGACCGTCAGCAATGCATGCAGTTTTCTCAAGTCATGGGTGAAACGGGAGTAAACGACACCTTGAGTTTCTCTTGGCATGCTCTTCTAGGAGCTCCATGCTTGTTTTTCAAAGCGAGGGTCAATACACTTTGGTCATTGTCTAAGGAGAGAGAGATTCATAGTGTTTAATAATGATCAATGCATTTGTGGCTCAGGTTGTGAATGGACATGTCCTCTGCTGGATTCCTTGGAAAAACATCGATAGGATTGAATGGTGGCACAGAGCACAGATAAATCTCTTGTCTTTTGATGTGAGGGGCACACCACTCAAAAATTACTGCCTAACATTTTTCTTACCACCGAATTTCTTCATGCTCAAGCAATGAAAGCACACAGGCTAAATATCTGGCAAAATGCCCCATAAGCAAGCTTTATTACGGCAATTCACCTTTGAGAAGGTGGAACTCTTTCCCACCTGAGATACCAAGGGAGGCAGGACCAAGATGTATCAGAAGGACCCTGTCTGCATTTGAATCCATTCATGGAGGAACTTCTGTCTCAGCCTACTGGACGGATTACCCATGAATAGGTATCTAATTTCATCATTATGTGGATGAACCGATTGTTTGAGTCAGCAAAATTAGGGAGATATTAGACAGCTTGTTCACTCAAGCTGTCCTCCTCTTTTTCCCGGGAATCCCTTCTTCAGGGCAGTCCTTGGGAATAACTGCTATTTTCTGGACGAAATTCGTTATCAAGGTGCTTGGCCTCATGTACTCACGACGTAAAATCGTCTCCACTAATGTGGTCTCATTCGGTTCCTTCTGAAGAGTCTAGTGGCCTCTCTCAAAAGGAGGCAGCACAGGAGGATGCTTATCTGGGTCCTTGATGAAATGTTGGTCTTGTCTCTACCGAGGTGTTGCCTGAAAAGTCTTGCACAATAGAGTTATGCTGAAGCCCTTCGTAGGTGACAGGAGTGCATGGTGGCACGAAAGGGAGGATGGTGCTGACACTGCTCTAGTTGTGGAGCACTCTAAGGTGGATAGGCTATCCAGGGGGACTCCACACCAAGGAAGCAGTTCTCCATGTAATAGGCAAATTCGATTGTAATGTCTTCACCCCTGCCCCAAAAGCCGGGCACATGAAGCACACCTTCCCTACCACAAAATCTCTGTTTGTGTCTCTCAGTGAATTATTCTGCCCACGCTGGATGAATGGCCCGCACCATGCTGTCAGCGTATGACCGGGGTTGGTATGAATGACCATATTTCAAAAGGTCATTGGGCCCGCTTAGACATGGGACTCTCAGTTTTAGAGGCAAAAGGAATTCAGAACCATTATGAGGACCTTTTCTCTTCAGACATATACAAGAATAGAGCAATGAATATCCACAGACACACTAAGCCTGGTGTTTGATGATGTCCGTGGTCTCCTCTGCACTCAAGGAGAAGAAGATTTTGCCGAGGGTGTGACAAATGTAGAGAGGCAGGCCGTGAATATATGCTAAAAGTTTCTTTCGCTCAACTTCTGCCAGATGATGCCTTAGTTGCACATCTTCTCAGGAATCAGGTAATGTGGAACTGTGACACAAACAAGGAGAGTGGGCTCTAGTCATATTGAACGGAAACAAAAACAAAGTACATCTGATATCCACTTGTCAATTCATCAACACACTTGAAAGGTCAAGCGGTGAATACTCACTGGATAAAAGCAGCAGGGTACACACAAACATCCCAAATATTACATAGGCAACCAAATTATTAAACGGTAGACCTCCTGAGATATGGGATGACACGGATCCCGTATGTACCACTCCGAACAATGGATGTGCTGTGTTCTTTGGCTCGTGATCCATGGGTATCTCCAACTGTGCCAGAAAAAAAGATGTCCAACTGATATGTATTGTCTCGTCAGGATGTACTCGGAAGAAAGGTCTGTGGGAAGAGGCCTCCCAGTGGAAATTTCCGTTTCCATTTGGATACACCGTTTTTAACTCCTCTTCTGCCAGAAACTGGCCTGGAAATAAGCTGCTATCTCTTAAACAAAGGGTTGTAACAAGATGGATGGCCACTGATCCTCTGGAATTGAAATATTCTCCCATGTGCTGTTCCTGCTTCACTTGTGGTGAGCATATGACTGTCCTTGCCGCATATATAGAATTGGTAGATACTTTTGTTGGGTCAATGATGAGTACTTTATATTGCCTTGAGGAGCGGTGATGACTCAAATATCAAGTACAATGGCATGACGCTGAGGCCCAGCAAAACTTGTGTAATCCAACATGGGAGCAATGATGATGGTCCCTTTGGTATGATCTAGTTTGGTGCTGGAGGACTTGTCCTACCGGAGGCCATCAAGTGGAGCATGTGGATATGCTACTGCATCATATTCCCCATGTTATCCTTAAACTTTAATCCTCATCAGCGTTCCTGGCCATTTCAGCATGCCTGGCTGATCACCACATCACACTTTTTGTCTTTCAGGATGAAAATCTGCTGAGAAGGACTGCATGGCATGTAGTGTCATAAAGGAGTGCAGGACCTCGTTTGGTTGTCATGACCAATGGTTCACCAGTCAGCGAGAGTCATCATTCAAGGAGGTGTTCTTGGTGGGTGAGGCAAGCTGGACCTTCAGCAATGCATGTAGTTTTTCTTTCAACGCATGCTTGAGAAAGGAAAAAAGAGTGCCTTGAGTTTCTCTTGGCATGCTGTTCCAGGAGGTCCATGTTTCATTTTCAAATGGAGGGTGAATACACTTTTATCCTGCTTAAGGAAACAGAGATTCATGCTTCTTTAAAAGTAATCAGCGTATCTGTGTTTTACGGTTTGAATGGTCATGTCCTCTGCTGGGCCCCTTCTGGAAACTTAGAGGGGTTTGAATGGTGGCACAGAGGAAACAGAATCCACTGGATTCCTGACATGAGGGGACAAACAACTCAAAATTTACTGGCCTACATTTTTGATACCACCACGTTTCTTCACGACTGAAGATATGAGAACACACGGGTGAAATCGCTGTCAAAATGCTCCATAACCAAGCTTTGCTATGCAAATCCATCTCTGAGAAGGAGGAAGTCTTTATATCCTGAGATAGTAAGGGAGGCATGTCCAAACTGTATGATAAGTACCCTGTCTGGACGTGACTCCATTCATGGAAGAACTTCATTCTCAACCTACTGGACGGATGTCCCATGAATAGGTACGTAATATCATCATTATGTGGATGAACCAATTGTATGAGACAGCAAAATTAGGGGGAAATTAGAAAGCTTCGCCAACCAAGCTGTCCTCCACATTTTCACAGGGATCCCTTCGTCAGGGAAGTCCTTAAGAATAACTGTTAGATACTGGACTAAGGATGTCATCCAGGTGCCTGGCCTCATGTCTTCACAAAGTCAAATAGTCTCCAGTAATCTCTTGGCATTCGGTTACTTCTGAGGTGCCCATGTGCCTCTTTCAGATGGATGAAGCAAAGGAGGGTATTAAGCTGGGTCAATGATGAAATCCTTGTCTTGACTCAAGTGAGGTGTTGTCTTAAAAGTCTTGTGCAATAGAATTATGGTGAGGACCTTCTTAGGGGACAGGTGTGCATACTGATGTGAGAAGGAGTATTGTACTGACATTGCTTAGTTGTGTGGCACCCTAAGGCGTTCGGGCTATCCAGGGAACCTCCACCCAGAGGAAGCAGTACTCCATGAAATAGGCAAATTTGATTGCAATGTCTTCACACCTTTCACAAAAGCTGTGCACTTTAACAATGCATTCAATGCCACAAATTCTCTATGTCTATCTCTCAGTGAAATATTCTGCCCACGCTGGATGGATGGCACGACCATGCTCTGACAGAGCATGACTGGGATTGGGATTCATGTCCACAGTTCATAAGGTCCTTGGGACAATTACGCACGGTAACCTGAGTTGTGGATTAGAAAGCAATTCTGAACCGTATGAGTCCCTTTCCTTTTGAAACCAGTATGAGACTGGAGCAACGAGGGTGCAAGAATGCCCTAAGACTGGTGTTTGATGGTGTCCATGGTCTCCTGTCAACTCAGGGAGAAGAGTACATTGTCGAGCATGTGACAAACTGGAGAGGCAGGCCATGAATACATACTAAAGCATTCTTTCGCTCAACTTATGCACTACTCACGCCTTAGTGGCACATCTTCTGAGGAATCAGGGAATGTGGAAGGGTGATGCAAACAAGGAGAGTGGGCTCCAGTCACATTCACAGGGAAAACATTATAAGAAGTAGATACGATATCCACTTGTGAATTCATCAAGAGTCTAGAAAGCTCAAGCGGCGAAAACGCACTGACTGAAAGCAGCAGGCTAGACAAAAGCATTCCAAATATTGGCCATTAAACCCAGTTATTACACTGTACACCGCTTGATAGCTTGAGATTTCAGAGGACACGCATCCAATATGGACCACCCTGAACCCTGGGTATGATGTGTTCTTTGGGTCCTGATCCACGGGGATCGCACACTTTGCCAGAAAACAGGTGCCAACTGATACGTATTGTCTCATCAGGATGTATTTCGAATAAAGGTCTGTGGGAAGTGGCCTCCCAGTTGAAGTATCAGTTTCCTTTCGGACACGCATTTTGCACACCTCTTCTGCCAGAAAGTGGCCTGGAAATAAGCTGCTATCCCAAAACAAACGGCTGTAATGACTTGAATGGCCGCGGAGCCTTTGGAATTGAAACATTCTCCCAAACGCTGTTCCTGGTTAACTTGTGGTGAGCATATGACTGTCCTTGCTACATATACGGAATTGGCAGATACTTTTTTTGGGCCAATGATGAGTACTTTATATTACCCTGAGGAGCGGTGATGACTTAAATATCAAGTACAATGGCATGACGCTGAAACCCAGCCTTGAAGACAGTTGAGTAATCCAACTTGGGAAAAATGATGATGGTCCCTTCGGTACGATTTAGTTTGGTGCTGGAGGACTTGACGTACGGGAGGTCATCTGGTGGAGCATGTGGATATGCTACTCCTTAAAATTCCCCATGTTATCTTTGTACTTTAATCCTCATGCCAGGTCCTGGCCATTTTAGCAATCCTTGTGGCCCACCACATCACACTTTTTGCTTTCAGAGTAAAATTCTGCTCGGAACGGCTGCATGGAATGCACCGTCATACAGGAGTGCATGGCTTCCATTGGGTGTCATGAGAAATGGTTTATCAGTCACCGAGGGTCATCATGAAAGGAGGTGGTCTTGGTCTGGGAGGCAAGGTGGACCGTCAGCAATGCATGCAGTTTTCTCTCAAGTCATGGGTGAAACGGGAGTAAGCGGCACCTTGAGTTTCTCTTGGCATGCTCTTCTAGGAGCCCCATGCTTGTTTTTCAAAGTGAGGTTCAATACACTTTGGTCCTGCTCTAAGGAGAGAGAGATTCATGCTTGTTTAATAATGATCAATGCATTTGTGGCTCAGGTTGTGAATGGACATGTCCTCTGCTGGGTCCCTTGGGAAAACTTCGATAGGATTGAATGGTGGCACAGAGCACAGAGAATTCTCTTGTCTTTTGATGTGAGGGGCACACCACTCAAAAATTACTGTCCAACATTTTTCCTACCACCGACTTTCTTCAGAACTCAAGCCATGAAAACACACAGGCTAAATCTCTGGCAACATGCCCCATAAGCAAGCTTTGTTACGGCAATCCACTTTTGAGAAGGTGGAACTCTTTCCCACCTGAGATACCAAGGGAGGCAGGACCAAGCTGTATCAGAGAGACCCTGTCTGCACTTGACTCCATTCATGGAGGAACTTCTGTCTCAGCCTACTGGACGGATTACACATGAATAGGTATCTAATTTCATCATTATGTGGATGAACCGATTGTTTGAGTCAGCAAAATTAGGGAGATATAAGACAGCTTGTTCACTCAAGCTGTCCTCCTCTTTTTCCCGGGAATCCCTTCTTCAGGGCAGTCCTTGGGAATAACTGCTATTTCTGAATGAAATCCGTTATCCAGGTGCTTGGCCTCATGTACTCACGAGGCAAAATCGTCTCCACTAATCTGGTATCATTCGGTTCCTTCTGATGAGCCTAGCGGCCTCTCTCAAAAGGAGGCAGCACAGGAGGATGATTATATGGGTCCTTGATGAAATCTTGGTCTTGTCTCTACCGAGGTGTAGCCTGAAAAATGTTGCACAATAGAGTTATGCTGAAGCCCTTCGTAGGTGACAGGAGTGCATACTGGCACGAGATTGAAGATGGTCCTGACATTACTCTAGTTGTGGAGCACTCTAAGGTGGATAGGCTATCCAGGGGGACTCCACACCAAGGAAGCACTTCTCCATGAAATAGGCAAATTCGATTGTAATGTCTTCACCCCTGCCACAAAAGCAGGGCACATGAAGCACACCTTCCCTACCACAAAATCTCTGTTTGTGTCTCTCAGTGAAATCTTCTGCCCACGCTGGATGGATGGCCCGCACCATGCTGTCAGCGTATGACTGGGTTGGTATGAATGACCATATTTCAAAAGGTCATGGGGCCCGCTTAGACATGGGACTCTCGGTTTTGGAGGCAAAAGGAATTCAGAACCAATATGAGGACCTTTTCTCTTCAGACATATACAAGAATAGAGCAATGAATGTCCACAGACACACTAAGCCTGGTGTTTGATGATGTCCGTAGTCTCCTCTGCACTCAAGGAGAAGTAGATTTTGCCGAGGGTATGACAAATGTAGAGAGGAAGGCCGTGAATATTTGCTAAAAGATTCTTTCGCTCAACTTCTGCCAGATGATGCCTAGCTGCACATTTCTCTGGAATCAGGTAATGTGGAACGGTGACACAAACAAGGAGAGTGGGCTCCAGTGATATTGAGCGGAGACAAAAACAAAGTAGATCTGATATCCACTTTTCAATTCATCAACACACTTGAAAGGTCAAGTGGTGAATACTCACTGAATAAAAGCAGCAGGGTACACACAAACATCCCAAATATTACACAGGTAACCA